ATGTAGTGCTTGGTTTCATTAGGCAATTGTGTTTTGGTTGTATCTAAAGCACTTCTGTGAGTTGTCTCTCCTGATCTCATTACTCATCTTTATTCTCTGCCCACGTACACAGTCAGAAATATTTTCCTCTTTTACACAGGTAGAGATTTTATTCAGCATTGTACATCTTTCCAGGCTATCCATTTGCTTTTTTACCATTTAGTTGCTACACCCAAAACATAATTCTTATTTGCATGCCACCAGTCTGGAGAACCAGTGTTAAATGTTTTCTGAGGACTTTGGGCAGACATAACCAGGGTTTTGCCTTATGGAATGTAGGAAGGAAGCTCATTTGTTCCAGATTACAGTATTCAAACCAAAGGCTCCAAACATGGAGCTAGATCTTTTAAAGCTGTTTGTTCATTTAATTTATGTCTGCTTTTCTCCTAAGACTCCATGCATTTTACAAGAATTTTTAAAAGGTGCAACTAAAATATATAGTGTATATGAAAACGTGTATATTAAGACAGAATTAAACTACAGTAAAAGCTATTTTGAAGGATAGCAGTACATAAAGCTAGTACTCATAGCCTCTCTGAGTTAACATGCCTGATAAAAGCAGTGTGCACCCTTAAAATAGGCACTTAATATATTTTTTACTTGTCAAAACTTTTCCAGAGGGAACATTTGTACCATTATTTGTTCTCTGCTCTGTACTAACCATGCTGGAATTTTTCTCGATAGCTAAATGATGTTCTTCCTCCTTTGTTTTGTACCTCTTTTTGTCTTGACTTTCTAGAACAGTCTTATAAACTTAGAACTGCATTGCTGGAAGGGACCCTATGGATAATGGAGGCCATTTCCTGTCAAGGAGACCCATTGGGGAATTGACCTCCCACCTCTGGCTTCTCAGCCAGATACCCAAACCACTGAGCTATCCATGTTGGAGTTTGGTTTTATTTTTGTTCCACTTTTTTTCTGGAGAATGGAGTTTAGTGCTATGGTACTTCACAGAAATGAAGTACCATAGTACATAGCTAATGGATAATGATTACAAGGAATCAGCATCCAGCACTGTGCAGGGAAGAACTGAACTAAACGCATGAACATTTACTGGATGCTAGCAAGTGCAAGGACAATGAAATGCATGTAGAAACAAAATAAGGAGTTTAGCACTAGACCGCCAGCTAGCTGGTCTCAAAATGTCCCATGAACATCTGAGTAATTGCCACAAAAAATGAAGCACAGAGATATAAATATCCTGTCTGAAAGAGCTCTCCATATTGCAGAAGCAAATATGTTTGTTATCTGTATAAAAATGAGACCTCAGATTATCTGATCCCACAGTGCAGTTAAACTGCCTTAAATATCTGTTTTTAGAACTCAATGCGGCTGAGCGTGTATCTAGCTGATAGTAATACAGGCTGGAAACTGAGGAATGCAGAAGTTCTCGTGTAGCGTACTGGTCAGGAAACTTAGCTCTTATCTTACCTGCTGTTAACTCAGCAGGTGTTCCTCGACAAGCCTCTTTCTCTTAACCTCCCTGCCCTGTCTGCAGTATGGATAGTATTATTACAGTGACCTACACATTACAGGATTGAACATTGAACCCATCGTACTGCTAGTCAGATTGAAGTTGTAGAGTCAAATGTAGTCTCCCTCTGGCCTTTGGCAGTGAAAACATGTAGACTAGGTAAAAATTATGGTTCTTTGGGAGGAATGTACTTGGGTCAGTTGATTTCATTTTGGGTATAGGTGCAGATTATCAGCAGTCCACATAACCCTTCATCGCCTGCTGATTGCATTGGGTCAGGAAGCCTCTAACTGCTAAAGGAGAGCTAGTGATGAAAGGGGTAATAGCTTGGAAGCCCTATATCCTCCGTGGCTACTTCTGCCAAAGCTCTGGAAGCCAATGTATACTGTAAAAAGAAAGAAATACACTATAAAAAGAGAGATTTCCAAGATAAGAGCCTGGCACCTATTTTCTAGTACGCTTTGTCTTCCACGAGCTTCTGGAGGAAAGTGGCAATGAAATCTGTCTTCTCTTATCCTTTATTTTTGTCTTTTGTTCTTCAGTGTGGTATAATAGCCCATTTGATTCAAAGTTAATCCTGAAATGATCTCCTATTGAAGAAGTAGAATTAGTGGCATAGGGACTGGTTTACTTGTGTGTGTTTTTTTTTGTGTGGGGGGGTGTTATGTGAGAGAGCCAGTGTAAGGATCTGCAAAATATATTGCAATCTGTGTAGAAAACACATTGCAAGAAGAACACAAGAAGAAAACTACAAATTTGAGAAGGGCTGCTATAAATTGGAATTAATTTAGGAGTTTGCTGCTCAGTTGGGCAGTTTTCAGATGGTGGGACATCTCATAACAGCTGTATTAGAAGAACTTGGTACATAATATGATAGAAATCAAATTAAGCCCAGCCCTGCTAAGGATGCAATATGTGCCTTTTATTTAAGAAATAGGCAGGCATCTCAGAGACTTCAAAAGGCAACCAATTAGATCATTGTTTTGCCCCCAGATACCTAGATGTAACATTGGATCGTAGACTGACCTGAGAGAAACACTGCAAAACACAAAGCAAAAGGACAATACTGTACAAGGAATAATACTCTTCAAGAGTTGCCAGGACCTCTATGGGTCATACAACCATAACCACTTGCTTTTGAAATTTTATAAATTTTGTCTTATTTTTATATTATATTTCTGTGTGTGTGAAATTGTTTCATCCTTTTGGCGAATATATTTAAAGGGTGGTATTGAAATATTTATAATAGATTATTAATCAAACTTTATAAGGAAGATGAGAAACCATGAATCCGGATTACCCATATTGCCCAATTTTATAATATCTGCTTACATGTGGGGGGGAAGGGGGAATGAACCAATTCTGGCTTCCCTAGGGTAGCAAATTATCTCTCATTGTTTTAGGCTGATATATCAGCAGTAGTCCATCTAAGACAAAGACAGACAGTGCTTGGTGAAATTGTAATGCTTGCTCAAAATCTATCTCAAAATAATTAGATAAAATAGTACATTGATTTCATTCTCCTCTTAAAGAGTGTTTGGAAACTTCCATGGGCTTTAGATATGATGGATACAATGCTAATTAAAGCATCTGTCCAAATGGATTTCACCTATAATAAAACATCTCTGTGATTTATCAGTACATTTCCAGGCACTACATTTGGCTTTTTAAAAAGCCCTGAGACTATATTGATTGAGCAACCACTAACTTCGACATTTTTTTGGAAGTCCTTTTGGGATGCCCAGAATCTTAAATGTTAGTCAGATGATGATCAGGGAGAGCAACTCTCCAGTGATGGCAAACTTTGTACTAACATTGATGGTTAGGCATCAAATTAAGATTTCTATTTTTTAAAAAACAGCTTTTGTTTGAATTGTATGTATCACTGCTGGTTTGTTTTTCTTCCCAGTTCTATCTGATTTTACTTCATGTGCTCAGCAGTGTATTGTTTTGCTGTTTATCATCATTCCTATTGTAGCTCCCATTAGTGTAATATGGTCATTTTTTAAAATACAATTTTTATTAATTTCCAAACATTAAAACAACAACAAATATAATAAACACGACTAACAATTCAACTTAAAACTAAACAAAACCACAGTTATCACCCCTGCACAACCCCCACCCCATCCTTGGGACTTTTACATTTTTAATTATATTTCATACTACCCTATTTCTCTCCAAAAATACATTGATTCATCTCCGGGTGTGTACCATTTGTGTTTCTGAAACACATATTGCCAAAAATGTTGTGTTTTGGATGTAAGAGTTATGCTTTTCAGCAAAAGTTCCAGCAGAAAGAAGCACAACAAGCAAAAGCAAGTCTTCTTCAGAGGCAGTTTACTTTAGACGAAATAAAGAAAACATTTGTGTTTCTGAAACACATATGCCAAAAATAAATTCCATATATCCTTAAAATCATTACAGTTCAATATTCCTTTTTTAACCTTATGTAATTTCACAAGTTAATTGGAAAAATAATAATTTTTATTATTTAATATGGAAGAATGGTATAAAGAAATGTGGATCATGGCAATTAATGATAAATTAACTAGTGTTATGTGGTTATTTTTAATTGCTTTTTATGTAAGCTTTTCTGGTGTTTCTCCTTATATACAGGCCTATTTACATTATCTCTTGATGAGCTGCAGCTGTAGTGAGCTGCAGCTGGTCTCTAGGAAAGCTTCCAGAAGCTCAGGGAACAAATGCATGTTTGACCAGACCATATATCCTTAAAATCATTACAATTCAATATTCCTTTTTTAACCTTACGTAATTTCACAAGTTAATTGGAAAAATAATAATTTTTATTATTTAATATGGAAGAATGGTATAAAGAAATGTGGATCATGGCAATTAATGATAAATTAACTAGTGTTATGTGGTTATTTTTAATTGCTTTTTATGTAAGCTTTTTGGATACAGTAGAACCTTGATTTACGAACGTCTCAGTTAACGTCATTTTCAGAGTACGAATGGAAATTTGTTGAAAACAATGCTTTGGTTTACGTTTTTTTCTGGTTTTTTTCAGTTTGTGAAGAAAGTTTCCCCAGGATGCATTGCCATAGCACCACCCCCGTTCCTATGGCAATCTCCATTCCAGTTTACGAAATTTTCGCTTTACGTAATGTCCTGTATAACGCATTAATTTTGTAGCTTGTTTTAAAGGATAAAGCGCAATATAAATGTTTTCCTTAAACAGTGAGAATTAGCTTGCCTGCATAGTGTGTACCTTGAACTTGTCCTAGAGGTTTCTGAAATGCAGAGAGGTCTTCTGTCAGAGGAGCTGCTGTAGGAGGTTCTTCTTGAATCATTACAAGAAATACAGTACTGTATAGGATTCAGGAATTTGAACTTTTAAAAGCAGTGCTAGGGGTAACTTTGTTCTGCCTTGTAAAAACTGGCCTTAAGAAATGCAAGAAAAAGGAATGTGGTTTTGTGTCTACCATGCTCTGCTGAAATGGATCTACTTTCGTTGCTTGTCCAGGGGATATTAACAGGATGAATTTGGAAAGAGATTCAGAAACCACTTTTGATGAGGATTCCTCCCAACCTAATGATGAAGAGGTGCCGTATAGTGATGATGAGACAGAGGATGAATTGGACATCGAGCCGTCTGTTGAGCCAGAGCAAAACCGCATTAACAGAGAGGTAGAAGCAAAGCAGGAGACACTTCGAAAAGGTAAGGGTGAAAGAAGTGGTTATAGATGAGAAGTCATTACTCTGAATGTTAAATTACTAACTACCTGTGCAAAAACTAAATAAAGGACTGATCCTTTATAACAGAGAAAACACTAAACGTGTTGAGGCAAGCTGGTCTAAGAAATGTTTCACAATCCACTGAATAACAGACAGAAGATACATTTTGTTGGGTGTGCTATTGTGTATGGATTTTCAACCTGGTAAAAGCAACACTGTAAGGGGTTTTTGATTTCACTGGTGACCAGTGGAAGCTATGACAGTTTGGAACATATCTGATACCTCTTCATTGGCTTAGGTTCTCTACTGTTCTAGAAAAATAAACTAGAACCTACAATGCATTTCCATTACCGTGGGGTATAAAATATTGCTAACTACCTTGATCCACTCACTGCTGAACAACAAACTAAACAGAGCTATCATCTGTATTTCTGAAATTTGTCCTCAGAGGTGCTGAGAATTCTCAGATCTTCAATTATTCATTGCCTATTTTGATAAGAAGGAAATTCTCCTCAAAAGAAAATCAACTGAGTATTCGGGAAGGAAGACTTTTATGCAGCATATATGTACAAGCAAGTTCAGAGTTCCTATTGATGCAAATAATGAATGCATCAATAAAAGCCTGGCACTCTCCAAAGGCAATTGCGTCCCAGGGTGTTATCCAGAAACCAGTACTTTCCACACATCAGACAAAAACAAAAAAATAAAAATAAAAAAAATAAAGAAGAGAAAAATGTGGCATCTTGAAAATTAATTGCTCTATTTTAGTGTGAGATTTTGTGGACAAGTCCACTTCTGCAGACATAAGAGGGGGTCCCACACAATTAGTGATTAATACTGGGTTGACTTCAATTGTCCCTAACTAGAGCAGACCCATTGAATCAGTGGTCCGAATCCTATGAGTGTATTTATGGTGCTGCAACTAAATACGACTAATTGATGAGGTTGTGGGGGTGCATTTCAGTTACACGATTGGGTACATGTTTAGGACAGTGTCAATTAATTGCAATTAGCGATGGTATGTTGTGCAAACCTTATAAGTACATCAGTGGAATTCTTGCCAGTGTTGACTAACTAGAGTCACATTGATTTAGATAGCTGACATAACTATGGCCTGCATCATGTATTGTTAGTGTGAATTCTTTCCCTCTGTACAGTATGATTTACTGTCCCACAGCTAACTTGTTCAACCACTTTTTTGACATTTCTTTGTTAATTTTTTTTTTGCTGATTGCCATTCATGGAAGCTAAGTTGAACATTATTTAGATATTATTGAACTAAAGCAGCTTTAGGGAAGGTATGTGAAATTCCCTCATTTTCACCATACTATTTGAGCAAAGAATAAATGTAAAAATAAGTATCACCATTTGCTCAGATATTAATCTTGTTGTGCTTTAAGGTCCTTTTCTTGTTCGTCTTTAAAACCTGCAAATGTATGCCTTAACTGCTGAAAAGATGCACAAGTAATTCACAGGCAAACTGTTGTTTGTGTGCATGTAAGAAGAAACAATCTTCAGGTGCTTGAATATTGCATTCATTGTACTGTATCACTGTGTTGTGTTTTCAGATTATAGTTGGCAGGTAAAGGCAAATGACAGAGCCTTCTACGAGCAGCCCCAATTTATGAAAAAAAGATATTTCTGCCTTACAAAAAGTAAATATTCAGTAAGTGAACTTCTTCACATGCCACAAGATAATAATGTACATTAAAAAATGTAACACTGCTTTAATACGCTTGTTACCCAACAAAAGATAGCTTAACTTGTTTGTGTTTCAATGCATTGATTGATTAATCGGCACATTACATATGATATACAAGTGCTACAACAGGCGTAATCTAATTGAGGAAGGAAGATTCTTCTGAAAAAGTCTTGCCATGTGTATTCATTCATTCATCACTTTATTTTTATATTAAGAATTAAATAATAAACAAACAAAGGATGATAAGGAAAGATAATAATTAAAAACTGCAACTAAAACCAATGATGATGATGATGATGTGTTATGGTGTCAAGTCGAATCTGATTTATGGTTACCTTTTCCAGGGTTTTCAAGATAGGGAATACTCAGAAATGTTTTACCATTCCTTTCTTCTTCTTTTTGGGTTGCCCTGGGATTATGCAGTTTGCCCATACCTTCATAATCTGGCTCTTCTTTCAGGAAGCACACTGGGGAATCAATACTCTGGCTCTACAGCCAGGTATTTAAAGTAGTGAGCTATCCAGCCAAGCAGGCTGCTAAAAACCTAAAGAAGTTAAAGAATAAAAAGGTAATCATCCATCATAATTTGGCTACAGGCAACTAAAGAAGCCAAACAGAAGTCTTTGCTTTCTAACAAAAGGCCATCAGATAGTGAGTTAGGGTATGACTACTTATCAGGGAAAATATGCTTGGAAAATATGTAGTTTTTCAGAGCAGGTCCCTGCTGGTTTCCATTAGTGAAATTGCTGTGGTTGCTCAGAGAACTACCAGTTTCCCCCCCACTCCAACCACTAGCACCTTTGATCTGACAAGGTGCTAATAGGCTATTTCTATCTATCTATCTATCTATCTATCTATCTATCTATCTATCTCTCTCTCTCTCTATCTCTCTCTCTATCTCTCTATCTCTCTATCTCTCTATCTCTCTCTCTCTCTGTCTGTCTGTCTGTCTGTCTGTCTGTCTGTCTGTCTGTCTGTCTATCTATCTATCTATCTATCTATCTATCTATCTATCTATCTATCTATCTATCTATCTATCTAAAGTGGCTTAGTGCTAATTCCTTTCAGTGTTGATTTTTTTTAAGTGTTTGGAGATGACAGCTGCTTGTCCTGGCAGTGCCTCTTCATATCAGATCAGGAGATTGCAAAGGGCAGAAAGCAGTGAAAAGTAATGCCAGCATGGAGCAAAATTCAAACCACCCCGTGCCGGCTGAACGCCCCCCCGAAAAGACAATTCCCTATTAAAAAGAGACAAAATGACACAAGGCTTCCCCACACTTAGCTTTGTGTAGTTGCTGGTTTTTAACTTGCTTTTGTCTGTGCCAGATCTAGAGCAAAACTGTAGAATAAATGGATGGTTCCTGGGAAAGAAATTCTGGGTGCAGTTATTGTGAAAACCCTCTCTGTGAAATATCATTCCAGTATTGACAGGGCATGGAATAATTCCCTCCCCCAAAACATTTTAATACCCAGGGCTTTCTCTTTATCAGAATTCTGACTGTAGAACTCACTCCCAAGAGAAACCAGGTTGGCTCCATATCTGTTGACCTTTGGACTGGGAGCTGAACCATATTGTTCTCCAGAGCCTTGGCTTTTAGGACTAGTTTTTAAATAAAGTTTTGCATTTTTCTTGTAAAAAATGCTGTTAATCTGTTCTTTTAAAATAATGTTTTAAATTTGTTTTTAATCATTTAAATCTATTGTAGATTGCTGTAGACAGAAAGGCTATATGCAAATGTTTAAAATAAAGAAAAATAAATAAATAATAGCCTTATGTCCTTCAAATAACCTTGTCCTAGTATATGGTAAATTCAGAAAGTTTGTTATTTGATTAATTGGTCCTGCCTAGTTAGATGCTCAAAAATGTTGTAATGTCACTTATTGATCAAGGAAGTTTGGAAAAATCGTCAGCTTGATTATGATAAGTCCCACTGAACACATTGGGACATGTCTGAGTAAGTGTGCATAGGGCTGGGCACATACTTGGTAATTCTACTGATTGTGGGCACATGCATTTGAATCTTTGCCTTGTGGAGCAAAACTCTGTAATCTTTTGACTCCTGGAACAGCACAACTGGTTTGTAGTTTTGAGTCTGGCCCATGGGGGTGAGGCGGAGAGATGAAGACTGTTGGGACAGCAGGAGAAACCAAAGCATTTGGGCTTTTGAAAGCATTATTTTAACTACAGTATTGGTAAAAACCCTCCCCCATCTCCAAATACTACAAGAAACATTTACAAAAGTCTGGAGTTTTATGAGGTGGAGTGGGGAGGTGTTCACTCGCTCATAGCCAGTTTTGAAGCACTTGATCTTAGTGGCCCTGTGAATGATTCTGTGCTTTTTTTCCATAGTTTACTTCTGCCTTTTAAAAATACAGTGGGACTGAAGCTTCTATGATGTAAAGCAGCCCAAAACATTAAAATCTTGAAATCTGTTTTGTATGACATGTTCAAGGCAGCGACCCATGGAAGACTGGTTTGCATAAGGCACTTGCTTAACCGAAGCAGTATGAAGGATGACTTCACTAAATGAAATGTTTTACATAAAAGGCAAATAGGATTCATATACTGTATATTAATACTTTGGAATGACTTTTTTTATCTTCAACAGGGGAATGCAATTAGAACTTACAAATATAATCCCATCACCTTCTTGCCATTGAATTTATTTGAACAATTTAAAAGGGCAGCCAACTTTTATTTCCTGATTCTACTTATTTTACAGGTAAAACATGACTTTAGAATTCATTATGGAGTTCGTTTCTTTTGTTTCCCATTTAAAGGTTAACAGACTTTTAATAGAAATAAAAAGGGAAAGTTTTGTGGCCAGGACAAAATACAAATGCAAGAATAGGTGATAGATATCTTTATAGGCTACTAATAAAAAATAAAACATGATACAATATGCTAGCTTTTGTATGTAAATCTCACTTCTTCAAAGCAAATACCAAAAGTCCATAGGTTCATGAAATAACCTTCAATAGGTAAAGGTAAAGGTTCCCCATGACATTTAGTCCTGTCATGTCCGACTCTAGGGGGCAGTGTTCATCCCTGTTTCCAAGCCATAGAGCCAGCATTTGTCCGTAGACAGTTTCCGTGGTCATGTGGCCAGCGCAACTAGACACAGAAGGCCGTTTACCTTCCCACCGTGGTGGTACCTATTTACCTGCTCACATTTTTACATGCTTTCAAACTGCTAGGTTGGCAGGAGCTGGGACAAGCGACTGGAGCTCACTCCGTTGCATGGATTCGATTATACGACGGCTGGTCTTCTGACTTTGCAGCCCAGAGGCTTCCATGGTTTAACCTGCAGCGCCACCACCTTCAATAGGTGGCAGTAAAGAGCAGCTTGCTGAAGCAGGATTTGCCACTGATGACAAACTTATAAACAGCCTGTTTTCTTGGAATTGTTATTGGGCTCTGGGCTACTGATCTTGGTCCATATGCTTTGTTACTACAATCATATCCTGATATGGTTGACACTGGACTTAGAATAGACTCATTTCCCAGATTCACCACTGATAAAAGAATGGTTATATGCACAACTGAAACCTGAGATTGGAAAAGTTACTTTTCTAGTAAAGTAGTGCAGAAAGTAACTTTTACGTCTGGTATGAATCAGACTTGGACAGGTATGCATAATGGCCTTTTAACATAAGTCAATCCCATTTGCCTTGCCCAGGATGCTGAGGTATCTCTGTGGGAGATGAGCAGAGATGATAGATTTCTTGGTGTGTTTGTGTGTTGCCTTCTATTAAAAAAAACACACACAGGAAAACATATTAAATTATGTTTATTTGTTTATTCATGTTTCTTTATTTGTTTAAGTATTTAAATTATGTATATCTGTTTATTTAAATCAGTAAAAAGTATTTATGTATTTATTTATTCACTTTATAAGCAATTTACACGAGGTTCAGTTCACAAATCCACAATACACCACAATAACAAAAAATATGGTTCCAAACAATACAGCAGTGCAACTGAACCATAGATAAAAATAGACCTGTAAAAAACATTCTAAAATTGATTAAAACATGTAAAAAATATTATTGACAGTATTCAGGAGATCCAGTTGTTTAAGGCAGCTGTAAATAATTCTGTCTTTTATCATCTTTTTAAATGCAAGGAGGGAAGGGGTTTGGCATATCAAAAAGGCATGGGTCCTCAAATCAATTTTTTTCCAACTTATGGCAACTCCTGCATAGTTTCCTAGCTATAAAGTACAGTACTCAGAAGTAGTTTATCATTCGCTCTTTCTGGTGACACTTTGGAACTGTGCAACTTGCCCAGGGGGCAAAGCGTGTAACCCAATCAGTGAGACACATTCCAGGTGATCTCCCAAAGATCAAATGACCCCTCTCTTGGGATGCCCAGTGGAAATTTGAACTCCTGGCCTTTGGCTCCACAGACAGGCAGACCAACCCACTGAACTAACAGGTCCACTTAAACTGTAATAATAATTTTGTGCCATCAAATTGATTCCAGCTTATGGGGATCCTTCCCTGGATCTTCTAATTATAGGGTACACGGGGGTAATTTCAGGTCTCTCCTTCCAGCGGCCCCCTGGGATTGTGCAGCCTGCCACCGTCTGGCTCTTCTCCCAGGAGGCACTGTGGGAAATCAGAAGCCCCTCCCATCGCTCCATTGCAAGGTGCTCCAAACCACCGAGCTATCCAGGCAACCTCCACCTAAACTGTACCAGCTTCACAAGGGCGCCTTCCACCGTCTGGCTCTTCTCCCAGGAGACACTGTGGAGAAATCAGAAGCCCCTCCCACCACTCCATTTCAAGGTGCTCTAAACCACCAAGCTATCCAGGCAACTTCCACCTAAACTGTACCAGCTTCACAAGGGTCTATACATGTGTGTGAACCACTTCAGATGTCAGTGTGGTGTAATGGCAGGGGTGCATATTTCTTACATAAATGAATAAAATGTCTCTTTGTTTCTTTGCAGTCCATTCCTCAGATAACGACCCTATCGTGGTACACAACCCTGATCCCTTTACTCGTAGTTCTGGGCATCACTGCAATTAAAGACCTAGTGGATGATGTTGTAAGAATGGCTTTTTCTTCTTTACATTTCAGGTTTTTAAAATATATATTCAACCTTATATCAGGGTGGCTAAAGAGGCTCAAAAAGAATCTTTCCAAGTCAAACTGGAAAATGTTTTCCCTCAAGTATAAACAAAGAGGAAGGACAAACGTAAACAGAAGTTAGACTAATTGCTGGCCTACAATGAAGGAGAAGGAGGAATCAGTAACACTCTTTACAGTTAGCCTGACCATTTGTTGCAAGAAGTGGGCATTTTCTTGGCATGTGCAGGACAATTCTGTGGTTTCTAAATTGCCCAATAGTGTCTTAAGGCTGGTCTTGTTTGGTCCCTCAAATGAACATAGGATTCGTAGCAAAATGGATTCATAGGGGGAAAGTGCAATATTATTGTTGTTGTTGTTAGTAGTAGTAGTATTATTAGTAGTATTGTTATTGTTAGTAGTATTGTTAGAAGTATTAGTCGTCATCGTCTTCTTCTTCTTCTTCTTCTTCTTCTTCTTCTTCTTCTTATTATTATTATTAGTAGTAGTAGTAGTAGTAGTAGTAGTAGTAGTAGTATGATCACCACAAACAACAACAACAATTATTATTATTATTGTAAATAATAACTTATAATAGCAATGTCGTGCTTCTCAGCATAGCTGGTGCAGGGGGCAGACTCAAGGTTCAAACCTGAGAATTAAGAGTGAGGTCCTAAATATTGACTTTTATGGGTGAGGTGATTTGTTTCCAAAATAACTGATTTTTTTAATTTCAAGAAGCAAATTACTTTAAATGTTTTAAAGTACCCAAAATAAGTGATTTTTTTAATTTCAGGAAGCAAATTACTTTAAATGTTTTAAAGTAGTAGCCAAAGATTTTGAAACAACTCCAGTTACTAAAATTTGTGTGAGAAGGAGGAGGACTAATTTTGCTTTATCATTACAATTTATCATAGTCATGATAGTTGTTAATAGTAACTAAATGGTATAAAGCCTTCTTAAAACATTCTCCTTCATCTCTCCCTTTTTAGACTCGGCATCAGATGGACAATGAAATTAACAACCGAACATGTGATGTTATCATGGAGGGCAGGTACTGCAGCTGTAGATGTTTAATAGCAGAGATGGCTAGCTTCTGTCTTAATGCGGTGATTTGTTTTCCAGACAGAGGTGGTGGACCTGGAAGTATATTCTGTGTGGATTGGAGTGAAAGTCACTAGACTGTTTTCCCCCTGAGTAGTTGAATTCAGCATGGAGCATATCTACTGCTCCTAGCATGCAATATTCATGAGCCTTCCCTAATCTGGAGACCATCCACCAATGTGTTAGACTACAGCTCTCCTCATCCCCAGCTGCCCTCATCCCCAGGCCTGAATCCTGTTGAAGACTAATTGCTTACACACAATGGATGTATTGTGAGCATTTCAAATTTCCCCCCTCACTTGGACAGAGGGTACCTGGGATCTCCTTGCACAAGTGCAAAACAGGAGTGGCACTCCTTCCACAAGTACAAGACTCCATGTTGTTGTGCCAGGGGGTACATTATGCTCCACCGGTGTCCAACAGAATCCCAGCTTCTATCAGTGGGATTAACATATGGATTGCTTCGGCTTCTTACAACTTGAAATTGTCGCCCCCCCCCCTTGAGCAAATCTGTGGCCAAACCTCATGCCACTGTCCAGAGACGAAAGTTAATTTAGTAGGGAAAAAGTTGCTAGTTAGCCATTCTGTGACAAGGAACATTTGCAGTACCCTTCACACCTGAGAGTGGGGAACTCTGTAGGTCCCAGAAAGATCTGGGAGGGCATTTGTTCTTTACCTAGACACAATGCAACCATCCCAGTATGATTTCAGTTGACGATAAGTAGCTTCTGCACTTCCTGAGATGTATTTATAGTGGCAACATAAGAATTTCAATAAGTATTATAACTGTTGCTTGACATTTGTAGTGCAAGTACAAAAAAGTCTTTACACAACAATTTATATCATGTATTTAATAACTAAGTTAGTAGATTGTATTAATTACTATTTGCACAGATGTAAATGGCATATTTTAATTGATACAGTTCAACAGTTTTTATGAATGCTAGCCAGTTTACCCTTCTGAAACACGTATTTTGATACTTTTACTTTAGGTTCAAAGAAACAAAGTGGAAAGACATTAATGTTGGTGATGTTATTCGTCTGAGGAAAAATGCCTTTGTTCCCGTAAGTAAAATGCTATGTTTCTTTTTACTAGAATATTGCCATCACTTCTGTATGCATTTAATCCCCTTTATTCTTTTTTAAAATCAGGCTGATATTCTGCTGTTGTCCAGCTCAGAACCTAACAGCCTTTGTCATGTAGAAACAGCTGAATTAGATGGGTAAGTTTCTTTCTGTCTACATTCACTTCCTAATAAGCTAGAAACATGTCAAATCATGCTAAGTTCCCTATTGGAGAATTATTTATTTGTATTACATGCACTTTAAAAAGCATCCCCAAAATCAATCGTAGTAGATATATAGATGTGTGCCACAAAGAACAACGTGTGATGAAATACATCCCATTGCTCTTAACTTACTGAGACTTAAGAGATGTTATAGATGATGATGACCTTTTCCTTTAAAATCCAGAGAGGTTTTCATTCTTGTTTGTTTTCTGCTTTGGTTTACTCTTACAGCATTAGGATGGCATAGAATAGTTAGTAGAGAACAGATGTACCATGTTTCCCCGAAAATAAAACAGGGTCTTATATTAATTTTTGCTCCAAAAATGCAGTAGGGCTTATTTTCTGGGGATGTTTTGATTCTTTTTTCATGTACAACAATCTACATTGATTCAAATACAGTCATGTCATCTTCTTCTGGTTGCTGCACAAGGGTGGAGGGCAGGGTTTCACTTAACTGGGGCTTATTTTGGGGGTAGGACTCATATTACGAGCATCCTGAAAAATCATACTAGGGCTTATTTTCAGGTTAGGTCGTATTTTCAGGAAAAAAAGGGTAGGAAATGTGCCTGTCAGCAAAAGCAGAAGTTTCTATTGAGCACTGCCTCCAAAGAACGGCTATAGTCCTTTGTTCCCGTTAAACCAAAAGACATTGCAGTCTGTGCTTTTTGTCCTTGTTCTAGTGAAACCAACTTGAAGTTCAAAATGTCACTGGAGGTAACAGACAGATTTCTTCAAGAAGAAAGTTCATTGGCTGCCTTTGATGGTTTGTACAAATATGCCTTTATTTTTCATTGCAAACAGACATATAAAGGGCTGTTCCTTCTGATCAATAGTCTCTGTCCAGCCTTTTAGAAAAGGGGAAAGCATTTCCTGTTCCTGAATCTTGCCTGGACATACCAAGAATCAGATTGGAGCATATGGTTTAGCACTGAGCTGTGGTTGCAAATGCTTAATGTAATGATGTTTAATCTATTAAAAAACAGAAACCAGTCTTTATTTATTCCTGGTTATTCTCCTATGAGTGATGAAAAAGTGCCACTTATCCCTTTTAATCCAACAGGGATGCTTATTCTGTACTAGAAAGTTATAGTTTTGACAGAGCAGTGATTTAAAACAAAATTGTTCTGGCCTCCTAAGAGTTCTTTTTTTAAAAAAAATGTAGACAAAAAAGGATATATAAATTTTGGAGACCATAAAGCCTATGAGGTACTAGTCCCCTTCTATTTTGCACTGATTAGGCCTCACCTACAGGCACTTTAAGAAGGATGTCAACAAACTGGAGCAAGTTCAGAGGAGGGCAACAAGGATGATCAGGGGACTGGAAACCAAGCCCTGTGAGGAAAGACTGAAAGGACAGGGCATGAACATAATCATGGGCTCAAATTACACGAAGCCAGATTTAGACTGAATTTCAGGAAAAACCTCTTAACTGTTAGAATAGTATGACAAAGGAAACAATCGCCTTGGCAGATGGTGAGCACTCCAATGCTGGAGGCCTTCAAAAGAAAATTGGACAACCTTCTGTAAGATCTGCTTTGATTTGGATCCCTGCATTGAGCAGGGAGTTGGACTCGATGGCCTTATAGGCTCCTTCCAACTCATTTATTCTGTGATTCTGAGACAGGTTCCTGCTTAAAACTCTAAAGAACATCTGCTTGTCAATCCCAGCAAGATTGGACTAGATGGATTAAGGGTTGGACTTGGTGCAAGGCAGCTTCCTATCTTCTTATTAAAAGCCCACCCCAGCCCCATTTTATGGAAAAGCTTATGACACAACAGTGGAGAAGGTGGAACTAATTACCTCAGAAGGTAATGAGGTCTCCAACACTGGAGGCATACAAGAGAAAATTGGACAACCATCTGTCAGATGTGCTTTGATTTGGATTCCTGTATTGAGCAGGGGGTTGGACTTGATAGCCTTATGGACTCTTTCCAACTCAATAATTCTACTGTTCTATGATAAATAGTATATATCAGCTTACTCGGCAAGAGACAAAAAATCCCAGTTTTAGAAAGCATTGCAGCAAATTGGTTATATTTGGAAGCTGCTCAGACTTCTGATCACATTCCATCCAAATAGAAATAAATGCTTCTTTTAACTCTTGCACATCTCTAAACATATAATGAGTGTCTCCTTACAGTGTTTGTATATAAGTTGCCCCATTTGTAAATTTACCCATAATATATAATGAAACTGTCCTATTTTCTTCTGTTGATAGTTCCCTTCTGCCCACTTTCTATACAGAGCCAGGAGATCTTTCTGAATTGGGGACCTAATGGGGAAAATTAAAAATTGGATAGAGGCATTTTCTAAAGATAGAATCCCCACTTGTACAAGTTTTTTTGAATTATTTTCAGACTTCTTTCTCTTCTTTCATCAGCTGTATATACAGTAGTCCAGTTTCAGATTGTTCACCCAGTATTCCATGTAGTATTGTCATGGCACTGCTGAGGAAGGAAGAGAGTGTGAAAAAATTATTATTGTATTTTGACTGAGGTTTCCAGAACCTGCAACCATCATGGTTTCCATGTAGCCCAGAAAAAACTATGTTTTTAAGTTCTGGGAAGGACTAGTGAGTGAAATCAGTTTTCTGGAACTCTGCTTTGCATCCACTGTTAAATATTTTAAATAGAACGACGTGCCATGAAACTGTTTTAATACCCTTTTTAAATCAAGTAATCCCCAACCCCACCCTTCTTTTATAACATCTTATCAGGCTTGGTGGAATGTGAAGAACCCAACAATCGGTTGGATAAATTCACAGGAACTTTGATCTGGAACGGAAGGGGCTATCCTTTGGATGCTGACAAAATCTTGTTACGTGGCTGTAAAATTCGGAACACAGACGTGTGTCATGGGCTTGTCATATTTGCAGGTATCTCTATAGCGAATAAAGTATTAGTAGAGCTTGTTTATTTAGAGCCCAGAGGATGGCTTTGTAAAAGTTTACATTAGATGGGAATGCCACTGTATTAAATAAATGTGAATTCGTGAAATGTACTGAATTTATTGATAGAAGTATTTATAGACATGATTAGCATCTAAGTAAACATATCTGAAACTTTCTGGTAGTTTAAAATTTGTGGGCATTTACATTGCAATTTTAATGTGATTTTAGGAGCAGACACAAAAATTATGAAAAACAGTGGAAGAACACGATTTAAAAGGACTAAAATTGACTCCCTTATGAATTACATGGTTTATACGGTAAGATGTTCCAGTTTGCTTTCCTGTTTTAACTTTTGAGTTTACAGAAGCTGTACCACACTGCTGTTTGATGGGTTATTTCCCCCCCCATTCATTCTGTACCAATTAAATATTTACTATGTTTTGACATGCTTTGGAAGATCATTTTTTCATGTCCAGGGACAGACTCTGCATTGTTGCCTTCCTCATTCTTTATTGAAGTCGTTGGAGGTTTGCTTGGGAGGACAGCTATGGTATCAGGAAAGAATACTGTATGTTTTTCATTACAGAGATGAAAACAGACAGAGAGGCCAAAAAATGGAGCATTCTTGTAGCATCTGGGACTTGATGTTTTTTTTCCTCATTGCAAGATTTCTCCTGCTACAAAAGAGGCATGAGAAGTCCTGTCATTTCAGCAGAAGGAATGACTGCAAAAGTAACAATAAAACTCTAGCTGTGCAAACTTTCGCTCCCATCAAACTGTCTTCTGCTTCATCAGGACAGTCCTGTAGAGATTTTCAAACAGAAATATTTCCCAGTCCCAACTGGAAAATCCAGGGTTTTAACCTAGAAGCTTTTTCATGCAAAGAGTGTGGTCTCTCATTGAGCTTCCTATTGAGTTAAACCAGCATCTCATGTAATCCAGTATTACTAACTAGCAGTTGCCCCTCATGGGTCAGACAGAAGCCCTACCCACCTGTCATTTAATCTAGGGTTGTTGGTCTGCAAAGCATATGCTGCACTGCATCTGTTCTTCAGTTTGGATCATGTTTTACTGCAGTGAATTGGTATAGGCATATTTTCCTGCTTCCTTGAAGCAAGGGGTTTGCATCTGGGTTCTCCTCTGCTACGTGCCTGTGATACATCTCTTTACTGCAGAGGGGAGCATTTTAAAGACATTTACATGATGCTTTGTAACATACTGGAGGGATGCTAAAAATAAACAAGCTAAACTAAACAGGTTGTGTCTCTTGTATATTGGATTACAAGCTCTTTCTGGTGTTACTGTTTTGGGTTCACGTTAGCAATTATGGTAGAATATATGAACAGGCTTATTTTTGACCTTGTTTTGCTGTTTGAACAGCAGAGTTGGACTTGTCATTGAGCAACCTTTAAAGGATGCCTTGGGCAATGCTTTCTCTTTTGTTTCAACAGCAAAAGGTTCCCCTTTGGATTTTGATTTCTTCAACCATAATCTGAATGTTTTCAAAAGTTGTTACTTGTGGGGGGTGGGAGATGTTGCAATGTCAGCTGTGCATTTACAAGGTTTGCTTTTTGTGCATGTGTTTACGATTTAGATCTTCATTTTGCTTATCTTGGTCTCTGCTGGCCTGGCTATTGGACACACTTACTGGGAGCAGCAGATTGGCAACTATTCTTGGTACCTCTACACTGGAAAAGATGAAACACCTTCATACAGTGGCTTCTTGAACTTCTGGGGCTACATCATTGTTCTTAACACTATGGTTCCCATATCCCTCTACGTGAGGTAACCATTCTTAATATGATATACTTTTTTTAAAGTATTTAACTTACAAAAGTAGCTTGTGTAAAAAGGCAGCTTTTTGGAAGATGGTTAGATATTCAAATTTTTAAAACTGGGTGTATCAACAATATAATCAGGAACATATCTCTGGAACTAGTATGTAGGGCCTTATATTTTGATCATAAACACTGAAGCTGTTCAAGAAGTTAAGAGTTAATGGAATTTTTCTTTAACAAGTCTTCCTCATGTGAACATAACAATAGAGAGGTTTTTTTTTCTTGAAAGTGTAGACATTTCCTCGCCCTTGGAAATTGTTGTGCTTCTTTTAAGCTTCCTCTTTACGAACAAGCAGACATGTGTAGTGAAGATTTGAAACTGTCAGACTTTCTTGTGACTTTCTGCTAGACTGTGACTGAATCAAATATTCTGAAGTTTTAGTTCTGATACTAATACTCTTACCTAAATAACTGTTTTTGATCTTGGTACAAATCAGTCTGTATCAATATTCATTGTGAATTACGAACCTAGGGACCCAAGTGGATTGCTATGAAAGTTTTTCAGTTAAGGATCTATTATTGTACTGTTTTAAACAGCCTCCTAACATTTAACAGTGGAGAACCTTGCTCTGTTCACTGGTATTTGCGGCATTTCACCTAGAATTCCTTCTTATCTCTTACCCACTCAGTGTTGAAGTGATCCGTTTGGGCCAAAGCTACTTTATCAACTGGGACTTGCAAATGTATTATCCAGAGAAGGATACGGCCGCTAAAGCCAGAACCACCACTTTGAATGAGCAGCTTGGGCAAATCCATTACATCTTCTCAGACAAGACTGGTACACTGACGCAGAACATTATGACATTCAAAAAATGTTGCATAAATGGTCAAACCTACGGTAAGCATGGCCCAATGCACTTATTTGCCAGCATATTTAGATCATGTAGAAAAAATTTCATCCACCTTGGCAATTGTAATTAATTTACGGAATTCACTGGCACTTACAGATATGGCTTCTTCAGATGGCTTTAGAAGAGAATTAGACAAATTTGTGAGAAGAAACCCAGGGTTGCTTGAACAGAACACTGCTCACAGAATGGACTTTTTATTTCTCTAGAAGTTCCCTAGACCTCCAAAAAAAGCCTTTCCAGAAGGTTATAGGGGAATCTCCTGAGTTGTATGTGTTATGTCCTCTGAAGCTGCAGTGGAACAGGATAATTGCTGAAATTACGAATCTCATGAATGCAGGATCCCACCATCTGATTTTGAGAGATGCCATCTATAGCCAACAATATCTGACATGTCCCCTCCCTCTAGTCTTCTGAAAAGGAGCTGTAGAAAAGAGAGAGGGAAGGAAAAAGACTCCATAGTATGAGCTTATCTTCCACTCATGATGCATCTGGCATAATTCTAGGATAGAGGGTCTGTCACTGATGCTAACAACAACTGCTAATCAGAACCTGAATATATGGAGACAGTATATCTCTGAGTACTAGATGCAGAGGACAGAAAGCATGTCTTTCTGTAACCTCTTCTGACTGGCTCCATTTGGAAATAGGATGCTGAACTGGACAAGCCCATCATGTGATCCCAGCCAGGCGGCCGTTGCATAATATTTCTTATTATTTTTGTTTCCCCTTTAGGAGAGAACAGAGATAAAATGGGCCAAGAGCAGTATCATCCCAAGGTAAGTAATTTTTGGCAGCAAACAACATATGTCAATAGGGGCACAGTTCCAGATACGTCTCCTTCATGTCCTGAATGATCACTATCAACAACCCCAAAGCTGAAAATGTTTATCCAAGGCTCAAGCTAAAGTAGAGAGCTTCTGCTACAGAAGCCACAAGTGGCATGGAAAGCAAAATGTTTTGGAGCATCTGGATAGTACCAGGAGGCTTAGTAAGCCCAACTGCACTCCTGTATTTATTTTAATATCTGAGAACAAAGAGTGCTTCCTTTTATAGCATAGCAGGGAGGAGCAACGCTTGGCCTCTACATATTGTTCAAACCCATGGCCCATGACAGGGGCTGGTGGTACTTGTTTTCCAGGGATATCTAGGTGGCCACGTGTTGTATGCTCTTGCCTTAGAGCTTTGACGTACAAATTCTGGGGTCCTCTTTGGGCATGCAGTGGCCAACGGCTGCCTAAAGGCTGTGCCTTGGTTTGAAAGACAATCCTGGAGTAGTAATTCTCCTTTCTTCTCCAGAAAGTAATTGTCGTTGTAGTCATCTATTGTTGTTGTTAATTTATTTTTTTTATTTTATTTATAGGCCACCTTTCTCCTGATAAAGGGACTCTTACTATTATTATGACTATTGTATTACTGCTGCTGCATTTTAATATTTTAATATTTTAATATTAAAATAGCAGCATTTTAATATTTGTAGGAGATAGACTGGAAAGAGACTGGGACTAAATATATGGGGTTCTGGGCACATGTAACTCATGAGGTACCCTAGAGGGTTAATACACTTCTTTGGATGCAGTTTTAATTGGCTGGAAGTGATTTACTTTCTGCTTGGAACCTGAAGTTTACTGAGTAGAGGCAAAGAGTTGTATGCCAGAGGTGAATCTATACATGCTTCTCCCAGACTAGAAACAAAACTCTTTTAGAAAAGCAGCCAAATACAGTCTCATCATACTTTGAGCCAGTTGTACATTATGAAAAGAACTTCACTAAAGCTGACCCTTGTGTTCTTTTTTTTTTTTTAATTCTCATCTAGCAAGTTGATTTCAGCTGGAACATGTACGCCGATGGGAAACTCCTGTTTTACGATAATTATCTGATTGAGAAGATTAGGTCTGGGAAAGAACCCGAAATTCGACAGTTCTTCTTCCTACTTGCAATTTGCCACACAGTGATGGTGGATGCAACTGATGGTGAGTGCCTGTACCGGTAGAATCTGTGAAAATAACTTGAGAAAGTTTTTTGGGAATATTACTATCAGTCCCAGAATCCACAAACAGCATTGCTTTAATGACAGTAATAGTTGGAAGACTCTCGGAATTATAGCCTTTAAAAGTAGCTTCTCTAAGCTTTGTCTGTGAAGAATCCTCATCTAAAATATATAAGCCTAGGAAACCCAAGACATTTGAAGTACAATATTTATAAAAGGTTTTCAAAGTAGTAGCTGTGTTAGTCTGTTTAAGTATAACCAGACAAAACCAAAACAAAATACAATACAAAACACAGTAACTATTTGTTGCAGAGTTTTGTATTTTTTTTTTTTTTTTGAACAGATCGTTAGCAAGCAAACAACTGCCACGAACCAAAGAAAGCTAGGGAGAAAGAACACCCAAAGACTGGAAAGAACAATTAGTTAGTGCTGGATAGACAGTCATCTCAAGCCAAGACAAGTCCCTCCCAGTCACACAAACTACAGACAGCGTGGAACATGGCATACAAAACTCCAATACTATTAACTCCATCCAAAAGATAAGGGTGGTACTTTTATTAGCTCAGTGACATAATCAACCATGACTGCAAGAGTTGACCCTAGAGGAAAAATCTACTGCCTTCACACTTCGCAGTAAGTGTGAAACTATCTGGGACAGGGAATCAATATTTTTACACTTAACTACCACTTGTGTTAGTAATGACATTGTCTCCTTCCTATGCCTGGGCCACATCTACTTTTATTTCACTCCATTCTGATGAAGTGGAACAAATAACCCATGAAAGCTTACATTGAAATATGAAACTACTGTAGTCTTAAAGGTGCTACCACATTCTTGTGCATTGTTTTTAATAGGTTTATATTAGGATTATGTTTAAGTCACAAAACTGTACATTTTCTTAGCAAAGTCTGTACATCAGTGCTTTCAGTATTAATCAGAAAATTGCAAACTATTAGCAGATCTGTGTACTACAGTGGTGCCTCGCTAGACGATAATCCCTAGACGATATTCCACTGAAATCGCTGTTTAGCGAAATCGTTGTCTAGCGAAAGGCATTTCCCCATTGGAATGCATTGAAACCTGTTTAATGCGTTCCAATGGGGAAGAATCGTCGTTGTCTAGCAAAGATTGGCCATAGGAAAGCCGCTTTGCGAACCATCGATCAGCTATTTAAATAGCTGTCTTGAGAAGCTTAGGTCCCAAAAACACCCATTTTGCGGAGGGAGCTGTCAAAATCATTGTCTAGCGAAAATCAGTTTGCGAAGCAGGGACCAAACATTCTCCAGCAAAATTCCCCCATAGGAATCACTGTTTTGCGAATTGCTATAGCGATCGCAAAAAGTCAATGTCTAGTGAAAAAACTGTCATGTGGGGTAACTGTCTAGCGAGGCACCACTGTAATTGCCTTGCCAGGAGGTTGTTTTGCCTGCATTTCTGTTCAAAGCATGCTGCTAGCCCTAGTAATCTAATTGCCCACCCTAAAAACTCCCATCCAGTTTGAACACATTGAATGTTTTTCCTTAAAAATGTAGGTGAGCTCAACTATCAAGCAGCCTCCCCTGACGAAGGAGCACTGGTGACTGCTGCCAGAAACTTTGGTTTTGTCTTTCTCTCACGGACACAAAATACTATTACGATAAGTGAAATGGGAACTGTAAAAACATATGAAGTTCTAGCCATTTTGGACTTCAACAGTGACAGAAAACGGATGTCAGTTATCAGTAAGTCAACTGATTTTGCTCTTTAAATCTTTGTTTCTAGTATTGTACGGTAGAAGCTCTCTAGGCCTGAAGAGGAAAATTGTCTTGTCTGTGTTTCCTAAATTTTTTTAAAGTGTCTTGGATTAAAAATACATAATTACACCATATCAATCAATCCATCAGTCATGTTCATATTAATTCTATTGCCTTTCCCCTAAATTGTTGATGCTCTTTTTCAGTCCAACTGGGCACTTTGTTCAGTTTGTGTTGTCGTCCACTCTAGACTGGCACTCAATGTCTAACCTGCTCTGTTGTGTTGTTTTTAACTGTATCTGTTGATTTTATTTATTTGATTGATTGATTGATTGATTGCCCCATTGGTGCATTAACTACTGTACTTTGGGTCATTTACAGGATAAAATTTAAAACCCCACAAAAGCCCCACATAACAAAATATGTTCAACAATATGACAATTTATGAGTATAAGTCTAAAATTCATACAAACATTTGAAGTACAATATTTATAAAAGGTTTTCAAAGTACTGTAGCTGTGTTAGTCTGTTTAAGTATAACCAGACAAAACCAAAACCAAATACAAAACAAAACACAATAACTCTTTGTTGCAGAGTTTTGAATTTCTGGTAAAATTCCTTTTTTTGCTATGCAGTAGAAGTACAGAGATGCACAGAAGAGAATAGTTATATTTCCCCAGATAGTCCACCTCTTTTTCATTAATTGGCACTTAAAGTCTCAATAACTCACTCCAAGACATTTGGTGGAGAAAGACTAAAATACATTTCTTTACTTACAGTTGCTTGAAATTGCAGACTTGTGCACGCTGCTTTCTTTACTGTACTTATACTTAGCAACCAACTGAACAGATCGTTAGCAAGCAAACAACTGCCACCAACCAAAGAAAGATAGGGAGAAAGAACACCCAGCAGAGAGGCGGGGGCCTCTTTGAAATAAAAAACTGGAAAGAACAATTAGTTAGTGCCAGATAGACAGTCATCCCAAGCCAAGACATGTCCCTCCCAGTCACAAAAACTACAGACAGCATGGAACATGGCATACAAAACTCCAATAATATTAACTCCATCCAAAAGGTAAGGGTGGTACTTTTATTAGTTCAGTGACACAATCAATCGTGACTACAGGAGTTGACCCTAGAGGAATAATCTACTGCCTTCACACTTCGCAGCAAGTGTGAAACTATCTGGGACATGGAATCAATATTTTTACACTAAACTACCACTTGTGTTAGTAATGACATTGCCTCCTTCCTATGCCTGGGTCACATCTACTGTACTTTTATTTCACTCCATTCTAATATATTTGATGAAGTGGAATAAATAACCCATGAAAGCTTACATTAAAATATGAAACTAGTCTTAAAGGTGCTACAACATTCTTGTGCATTGTTTTTAATAGGTTTATATTAGGCTTATGTTTAAGTCACAAAACTGTACATCTTCTTAGCAATGTCTGTACGTCAGTGCTTCTGGTATTAATCAGAAAATTGCAAACTATTAGCAGATCTGTGTACTAATTGCCTTGCCAGGAGGTTGTTTATCCTGCATTTCTGTTCAAAGCATGCCGTTAGCCCTAGTAATCTAATTCCCCACCTTAAAAACTCCCATCCAGTTTGGATACATTGAATGTTTTTCCTTAAAAATCTAGGTGAGCTCAACTATCAAGCAGCCTCCCCTGATGAAGGAGCACTGGTGACTGCTGCCAGAAACTTTGGTTTTGTCTTTCTTTCACGGACACAAAATACTATTACGATAAGTGAAATGGGAACTGTAAAAACATATGAAGTTCTAGCCATTTTGGACTTCAACAGTGACAGAAAACGGATGTCAGTTATCAGTAAGTCAACTGATTTTGCTCTTTAAATCTTTGTTTCTAGTATTGTACGGTAGAAGCTCTCTAGGCCTGAAGAGGAAAATTGTCTTGTCTGTGTTTCCTAAATTTTTTTAAAGTGTCTTGGATTAAAAATACATAATTATACCATATCAACATATCAATCAATCCATCAATCATGTTCATATTAATTCTATTGCCTTTCCCCTAAATTGTTGATGCTCTTTTTCAGTCCAACTGGGCACTTTGTTCAGTTTGTGTTGTCGTCCACTCTAGACTGGCACTCAATGTCTAACCTGCTCTGTTGTGTTGTTTTTAACTGTATCTGTTGATTTTATTTATTTGATTGATTGATTGCCCCATTGGTGCATTAACTACTGTACTTTGGGTCATTTACAGGATAAAATTTAAAACCCCACAAAAGCCCCACATAACAAAATATGTTCAACAATATGACAATTTATGAGTATAAGTCTAAAATTCATACAAGAAAGCGAAAGGGGAATTAACATTGTGGTGGGTTTTTTTGTATTCACTTGATTGTATAAGTTCCTAGCCCCTTCTTTCTTTTTCTAGCAAGAGAACCAGATGGAGCCATCAAGCTTTATTGTAAAGGGGCTGATACAGTGATTTATGAGCGGCTGCAGCCACACGATCCTAAAAGGCAGGCAACAGAGGAGGCACTGGATGTAAGTTGTTTTTTATTTAGAGGGTCCCATGAGTTGTTGCAGCTGTTTCTTTACCAAGATGGCAATGGTAACTTTAAATTTAGGGGTTTAAATAAAACTGGTATATAAATGATAAAAGTATATATAAGGAATATATACATTTATAAAATATAAATGCTTACTTAGCAGCATTCTGTGTATCGCTTCTGTTTCATTTTTCTGGCTGTATTTACTATCACAACATTTCTTCTAATGATCAGTACAAAGCTACTCCACCTCTTTTTGTATAATCTAAGCTTACGAAATCTAGCCCTTCCCTTTTGAGGCAGCAGAGAACAAATAATTTGCCTTTCTCATTTGTGACAGTCCTTTGAGTGTTAAAAACAATGCTAGGTTTCCCTTCAGATTTCTCATCTCCAGGCGAAACACACCACTGTAGAAACTGGCATATGTATTTAGGGCTATCTGTTTTGTAAATGTGAACAGCTTTTATTGATGTGAGTTCTCAGAGTAGGAAGTAAGTGAACTACAATTCGTGCATATGTAACAAGATTGCCAGCTGAGTTCCCAGCATCTCTAAGAAGTTATAATTTCCAGCATCCAAGTTGGACGCATGGCGGTTCAACAGTGGATTTGAACTTGAAATTGTTCAGTGTCCATTTAACTTTTATCTAGTATTTCAGTAGATTTACTAGGTGATCTATGTTACCTTGGTTGCAGTGCTTGGTTGATGACAATGCTGACACAAGTCTGGACGAAGAGGCTACATTCCATACTGCTGAATTTGTTTTTTTACTTCAACATTACTGGATCTCTTTGAGCAGATAATTCTGACACACTTACAGACCGTGCCTCTTAGTTTAATTTGTCAAGGAAAGATTTCTGAAATGAGATTTGACCGTGCTTCTCTTTCCCCTTACCATGGCAGATCTTTGCAAATGAAACCCTTAGGACGTTGTGCCTTTGCTACAAGGACATCAGCAACCAGGAGTATGAAGCATGGAACAGAAAATTCATGGCTGCTAGTGTAGCAACAAGAAACCGTGACGAAGCTCTAGACAAAGTGTACGAAGAAATTGAACAAAATCTAATTGTGAGTCTTATAGAGAGCCTGAGGAATGACATCCTATATTTGATCTGGGTGATATTTCTGATTTCATGGCAGTGTAGGTTCCATGTTGGGGTTTAGCTTAAACTTTATAGGAACTCTCCATGGTGCTGAACCCAGAAGCTGTTCACCCTCTTGGACCGTTCTTGTAAAGTTCAGGGTAAAACCTGAACTTCTACTGCCTTTGCTAAATGGGAATCACCAGTCTCCACTGGATGCCTCTTACATTACCTTTTCTTCACCTCTTGCATGTTTACATACTTTCTACTGGCAGCTGAAAACATGCACCCTGAGAAAAGTAGAAACGTTTGGAGGTTCCCTATAGTATAAAGATATAAGAAATGTTCAGAGGTTATCTCGTCTTCAGGAAAACAAAAAAGATGGCTTACAACAAATCAAGAAATTCTGTCAAAACAATGGGCAATTGCAACAAGATTTTTTTTTTTTTTGCTCCTGCTCAGCTTTCGTTTCTTGATAGACTGTATTGGTGGTAAAGGCAATACGATCTGTCAATCAGTTTTTCATACAAGTATGTTTCTTTCTTTTAAAAACATATCTGCAGCTTATAGGTGCCACGGCCATTGAAGACAAGCTTCAAGACGGTGTTCCAGAAACAATATCAAAACTGGCAAAGGCAGATATTAAGATTTGGGTGCTGACAGGTGACAAAAAAGGTAGCGTGTATAAATAGATGCTGCTGTTTTACTGAAGGATTATTATGTGTGTGAAGTAAATACATTTATTCTGGATTTTTTTTTCTTTGTTCACTGGGTAATTCTTTAAGCCTGCTGTTGACAGTTCTCTGTTAGAGAGAAAACAAACAATGACACAGCATTCTCTTCTGTTATAGAAACTGCTGAAAATATTGGGTTTTCTTGTGAGCTCTTGACAGATGAAACTACTATTTGCTATGGAGAAGACATCAGGTAAAAATAAATCATGTTTCTGCATGTAGGAAATATTGACATGGCATTAATCTTACTCCTTTCTTGTACATCCTTGTGCTGTTGACATTGTATTTTGTTTTATAATCTAATGAAAATAATCCATGTGGATCAGGTGGAGAGAAACATAGGAAACTGTTTTATACTGTGTTAATTTAAAATATAGGGTGGACCTAATGCTTAAGTTAACTGCATAACTGAAGATAGGCAGATTACTAGTAGGATACAGCAATGGCTTGAAACAGCTCCTGAAAAAGGCAAAAGAAGGAAATGTAAAAGCAGGGTTGTAGTTGAACATTGAAGACAAAAACTGTGACCACAGAATAATTGCATGGCTTCAGTATTGACAATAAATAAATCATCTTAGAAACTATGTACTTTAGTTGAGCCATTAATCCAAATGGACACTGTAACCAAGAAATCAGAATAAGATTGAGATTTGGAAGGGCAGTTAAGAAGGAACTGGAAAAGATTCTCAGTTGAAACAATGTGTCAGTGGAGATCAGGGCCAAAATTATCCAGACTGAGCTGTTAACCGCTCACTATGTGTGGATGTGAAAGCTGGACAGTGAAGAAAGCTGGGCAGGGAGCAGTGGATAGGTTCATTTGAATGTGCTCTTGAAGGAGAGTTTTATGGATACCATTGATTGCTTGAAAAGACAGGAAAAGAAGACAACCAAATATTACATGGATGGATTAAAAAAGGAAGCCACTATTTTCAGTCTGCAAGACCTTAGCAAGGCTGTCAATGACAGGACCATTTGAAGCTCACTAATTCATAGGGTTGCCATACATTGGAAGCAGCTTGGTAGCTTGTAAGAAGAACAGCCATGAAATATTGGCTATGCTTACCTGGAAGAAGCTGTCTATGGTTTCAGACACATTTTGCCCTATCCCTTCCTGGAGATGGTGAGGATTAAACCTGGAGCCTTCTGCATGCAAAGCTGGAGCTCTACTACTGAGTTACAATGCCTTCCTGAGAGAGGACAGTCCTAATCCTGTAGTATAGATCAGAGAGGGGAATTCTGTGTCCCTAGAAATGCTGTTGGATTACAACATTCAGCAATCCAATTGTCATCAGACCTAGCTAGCATAGCAAGTTGTTGAGTTATAATAGAAGATGATGTCCAACAACTTTTGCTTGGCCACATATGCTTCGTCATGAGCACAAAGGCTACAATGAGAGAAACATGTTTCCATCCACCCTTGAGCCAGGCCTGCTGTCTTGGCGTTATCATTCTTATAGGGTTCTTGTGAATTAAAAGCAGTACAGTCTCTTGAGTTTTTTTAAAGGAAGGCTGAGATATAAATGTAGGAGGAGGAAGTAGAAATTTAGGTCAGTAGTAGTGCTGTGCATGAGGAAGGATCATTCCAATGACTTATTAATTATTGTAGTCACTAGTATGGATAGCTGGCAAGGCATAAAATAATTGGTTAATCCATAATAAACAGCTTATAAGTTCTATTGTAAATCACAGCCAAAATGTGAATTATTTGGTACAAACTATAGTAGATAGAGAAATCTTCAGCAACAAATACTTTCGCTTAGCTGCTTTCTCCCACTTCTTACCATCATTATAGTTTAATGAAGGTGTATCAGGGAGCCCCACTTTCATGGAAAGTGACTGGCCAACTGTAGGAAGAAAGAGACTCATGGAAGAAGGGTTAAGCACTCTCTCTCCACTTACCTTTCCCTTGTTTCAGGTCATGCTTTCCCCTGCTGCTTTACAGAAGAGAGATAACAGCTTCATGGTCTGCTAGGCTGTAGTTTCAGGGGAAACACCTGGAATTTCTTGTTTGGGACAAACATTCTTTCATGATGGAGATCACTGAGTTACACAATCATGACAGAGAAGCATGAACATGGTGTAGTTCTAGAAGCATGCAGGTCTTGTGTTAAATTGGAAATATGCTGCTAGACTTCTTGTGTCTTTAGATGCCAGAGATCTTCCTGCTAAGTCTTAGGTGTTCACTATTTTCTTAAAGAAACAGCTACACTCAACTTGATTTTGTTTAATAGTGAGTAGAATTCAAGCTCTTTGTTGCTTACTGGAACCCTGAAATCTAATATAGTGGTACCTCAATTTAAGAACTTAATCCATATTGGGATTGCGTTCTTAAGTCGAAACATTCTTAAGTCAAAGCACCATTTTCCGTAGGAATGCATTGAAAACCATTTAATCCGTATCTGCTGCTTTTCGTTCTTAAGTAGAGGCGCTGTTCTTAAATCAAAGCGTTAGTTCCCATAGGAACTAATGCAAAGCTGGTTTATCTGTATCTACCACTAGGGGGTGAATTGTTTTAATTTTTTTCTTCTTTTGACCTAAGGTGAACTTAGGTTTAAAAAAAGGGCAGGAAAGGGTTTTTTGTTTTGTTTTGTTGTTGTTGTTCTTAAATCGAGGCCCCGTTCTCAAGTCGAAGTGACTTTTTGCAGACGGAGCTGTTCTTAACTCAAATCATTCTTATGTAGGGACATTCTCAAGTCGAGGTACCACTGTAGTTGTAGCCTGGATCAAAAACCTAACATAGAAGAGTCAAGAATTCTGAGACCATTATGTTGTTTCAAGTATCAGGAACCGTGGAAGTTGGTATTCCACCATTCTTGATTTTCTGTGCATAGTGAACCTGTTCCATGTTTTACTCTGAACTTTATAAGAGTGACCCAAGCTGCTAAATCCTGTCTCCACAGTAAATTCAGCACCTTTACCAACTCCTTTAAAGTGCTCGCTGAAACTCAGAACGTATTCGTGGCTGTAACAAGATCAATCAATGAACTCACAGGCCTTTCCAACAAAACCCCACCCCAGTTAGGCTACGTTAGGCAGTCTGGCAGTATAATTAGGATGGGGAAGAGTTATTTTGTTGTTATGGTTGTTCAGTTTGGGGAGCGAGAAGTCCTTGCTGCTCAACTAGAGGATCCTTCTGAGGACCAGTAGAGCTAGAACTACCGTTTGCCTCTTCCTGAGATCTTGCATTTGTTCTTCCCTCCTCCACAGTGCTCTTCTGCAAACAAGAATGGAAAACCAGAAGAACGTAAGTGGCCCAAATGCCCAAAGAATGAATGAACCATTTTTTGAACCGGGTAGAAACCGTGCCCTAATTATTACAGGCTCATGGCTGGTAAGTACAAGTCTTGCTACACTTTCCATTTGGATGTAAGAGAATAGTGTGGCTGAGCTGGCCCTGGCATTAAGTAGAGTGTGGCAGCTGCCTCAGGTGAGAGACGTTTGCAGGAAAGTAGCAACATCACTTTTCCGACAGTTGTTTTCGTCTCTGGGGGGAAAAAGCAGTTGGAGCAAAGATTGATATCCTTGCCTTTCCATTCAAAAACTATTGCTTGAAGCAACTAATAATATGATACAATTTTTAAAAATCATAAATAATACCTTAAAATTGTCTAGTAAAAACACAAATAAAAATGCATCAGTGAGACAGAATGAAAGCTCTCACCAGATTTAAATTCAGTTCAGCAGCAAATCAACTCAGAAAGCAAAAACTTGTGTGAATAAAAGTGGCTTTGCCTGCCAGTGGAATGATAGCAGAGATGGACCTAGCTTATGTAATTTCAAAGCCTACGAGCAGCCATGAAGAAGGCCCTTTCTTGTATTCCAGCCTCTGAAAGTGGTAGCTTCTTTTGAGGATATTAAAACCAGATCAGAATGGTAGTATATAATCTTTCAAATGACTTGGTCCCAATCTGTCTAGGGCTTTGTATTTCATAAACAACACCCTGAATTATGTCCCAAGATGGATTACAACACCATCAGTAGTTTGGTCTCAGTATTCTGGACCAGATGAAGTGAGGTAAGATACTTGGCCATTTGCTTAAGTTTATTAACAACATTGCAGAAACATTTCAGCCCTCTAGTCCTGTGGTGAAAAATGTCTTTGACCACAGTCTGCTGTTTACAGAGCTGTTCTGTTGAAGAAGGTTCTTAATGTCCTCACGTTAGCAGATGATACAGTATATCTGGTGGGAAATGAAATCTAAGAAAGCTCATGAGCTTCTGCGCAGGCCATTATTATTGATTCATATTGATATTTGTAGATGCCCTAAAAATCCTGGAGGGAAACATTTTGTAGAGAGGTTCCAGTGTGATATTCCCTAGCTGTAATCTTTTATGTGCTTGCCAGGGAGTAAATCACACTCGAACACAGTGGGACTACCTTCTATAGACACCTATAGAATTGTCCCGGCCAAGCTCAATTTTAGCTGGCGACACTTGTCTTTTGATGTTCTAATTTTGTAAGTCTTCCGAAACAGAAGAGCAAACGCTGTCCCATTATTATAAATGTCCAGCGCCTAAAGAGAGGACTCTTTTTTCCAGAATGAAATTCTCTTGGAGAAGAAAAAGAAGAAAAAGAAACTCCTAAGACTGAAGTTTCCAAAAACGATGGAAGAGAAACAAAAGCAGATGGAAAGTAAAAGAAGAGCGGATCTGAACAAGGAGCAACAGCAACGGAACTTTGTTGACTTGGCCTGCGAGTGCAGCTCAGTGATTTGCTGCCGTGTAACACCCAAGCAAAAAGCCATGGTGGTTGAGCTGGTAAAGAAATACAAGAAAGCCATAACCTTGGCTATTGGAGATGGTGCTAACGATGTCAATATGATTAAAAGTAAGTTATGCAAAATAAAATTCCTTCTGTTCCTGTGAGTCTACAGCAAACCAATAGTAGTATTTTTTTTTATCATATTGTGCTGGCAAGAATAGATGAGGTACTTCGGTGGTCAATCTAGTATTGTCTGCTTTGAGTGCTGATCTCCAAGGTTGGGTCACAGATCTTTCTGAGCCTTGCTAATCGTAAAAATCTTTTTAACCAGCAATGTCAGTACTGGACATGGGACCCTCTGCGTACAAAACATGTACTTTGAACAGTGAGCCTATCCTTTTACACGAGGCAGTGCCTCAAAATGCTATCAGGTTGTTTTTTGCTCTTGATCTCAACACCTATGAATTGGGGTGGTAAGAGTATGCATGAGTTCTCTGTCTTCTTACGATTAACAAATCCCCTCCCCCATGTTGAGGAATCTCTGTGTTGTTTTTGCCTACCCTCCAGGGTCTGTGATAAGCAGACAAAACCTTTTCCCCAGCTTCTTTATCTCAGACTGGGCAGTAGGACATACAGTAATGACCAACTCCTATTAGTTACACCTGCCAGCATTAAGCCTATGTGGACTTCTTGACTTGCAACAATTTACAACAATTGCATTATGCCGATATAAAAAGATACAATAGGATTTTGGCCAAAGATTCTTCTTTGATGCCATAGCAGCCTTTCTGCATGGCACAAACACTTTAAAAATATTTCAGCACTTTACCATTGGGGAGCCAAGACTTACAAATGCACAAGTAATTAAATCTGAGGAGGTCTTATAAATCCTCTTGGTTCAAATGAGCAAGAGTAGGGTGCCATACACTGGCCAGTTTCATATTGCACCTGGCACAGGTTAAAGTTATGCCTGTGGAAGTTATCAGGCAGTCATTGCATGTCTGACTGCACAATGGATTGTGCAGCTAGTTACACAACTGCACCTGTGGAATTGCTTGATGGATACAATTCCCACCTTGTTGTGGATTTCAGAACCACTTGAGCAAATTTGAATCATGCAAGAGCTGCTGTGCATTTTTGGCCAACATTGTCTTTCAGTGCCCCTCAGCTTCTGTGTCATACTGTTTCCCTTGCTGTAATTCTTCCTTCACCATCTAATTCCAAATTCTATGTTTGCTACCTTTGTCAAGGCAAGGCAAATCCCTTCTGTTCCTTTTTATCTACAGCAAAGTCTTCAATATGTTTTTGTTGTTTCTGTTGTCTTTGTTCTAGCTGCCCATATTGGTGTTGGAATAAGTGGACAGGAAGGCATGCAAGCAGTCATGTCCAGTGACTATTCCTTTGGCCAATTTAGATACCTCCAAAGACTGTTGCTCGTTCATGGCCGATGGTCATACATAAGAATGTGCAAGTTTCTTCGCTACTTCTTCTACAAAAACTTTGCTTTCACTTTAGTACATTTTTGGTACTCCTTCTTCAATGGCTATTCTGCTCAGGTAAGGCAACAGCAGAAATTAGGTTAACTTGTAAAAAATCCACCAATCCTTCCCCCCCCTAAAAAAAAACCTTCACAAGCTCACAACAGTATACTGCTTTGTAAGATATTCAGTGCTTTCATACCTTTTAAGTATGGTTTTATGTCTTGCTTATGGGTTATTTTGGGAGGCCATGTGGGCCACATCCAGCCCATGGATCACCTCTGCACCAAATGGTAGAGGTTTCCCATCTCTTTTATAGATTATGTAGCAGCCTGAAATATTGTTAATAACTAGTAGCACTGGTAGGAAAAAATATCTTTTATATATATTCTTTAATAACAAATAAGTAGCATTATTTTGCCTGATTTACTAACACTTTCCTGTTTATATAATCATTTATATAAAAACATTTCTCTTCTCATTTATATGAAAAAACACTTCTCATTTATATGAAAAATGACAACTTATCATTTTCAAATTACAGACAGCTTACGAAGACTGGTTTATCACTCTCTACAATGTGCTGTACTCCAGCCTTCCTGTTCTTCTGGTTGGATTGCTTGACCAGGTATCTGCCAATCAATTATTCGCTCACAATAATCAAAGGAACATTGTGTTGGTGTTGGCTGAAAACATGCATTGTGTGGCCACTTCCCACACAAATGCCACAATTCCCGATTTAGAGATGCTAGCAAAAGATGTATCCATGTAGTTTTGGGTAACACCGGTGCATTGTATTCAGGCACTGTGATTGAACTCCGTGCTGTCATCCTAATGTGCAGCCATCCTCCAGCTTCTTTCTCCCTTTGGACCAGAAAATGCCTTGCCACAAGCCTATGTTTAAAGCCTTCACAGAGAAAAATTAACGTTGTTAATACATCTGTTAAATTGCCAACACCTGTATGGAATTGAACAGAAAGTAAGCAAAGTTCAGCAGGGACCACAGCACGTGATCAGCATTTTTTCTTCCAAGTAGTGCAGTACAGAAACAGATGGTCCTTCTTCTGGTGCCTTTTTGATCTCTGGTCCACGTTATGTGTGTTTCTTCCCAGTGGCGATGCTACCATAAAATAAACATGCTTGGTTTGTGCATCTTTATTCTAGAGAACCAACCTAATATTTCTGAGTACTGTTGGCATCTTTCATTCAATACTTGCTTTTGTGATTAATGTTGGAGAGGCTGCCATTCTCTATTAACCCCCAAACTCTGACCATTCGTGGTTGTTGTGGGTTTTTCGGGTTCTTTGGCCGTGTTCTGAAGAACCCGAGAAACCCACAACAACCATCAGATCCCGGCCGTGAAAGCCTTCGAGAATACATCTGACCATTCACTCTGTGCCCTCCCCCACCCCAGTCCATGCCTTTGCATTGACGGGAAAAGACCTGTGCAGGCGCAGAATGAAGTGCGGATCAGGCCTCTTCTTATGTGTGCAAAACTTCAAATACATGTGAAACTTTCACCAGACAGCATGACATCACAGTGAAACCTCCCCACTGGTCAAAACAGAAAGACAAGTTAGTTGTTTTTCTGTTCCGAAATGCTTGCAGATATATTGCATTTCAAACTAATCCTGATCACCATTTCTCTAGTTGAGGTCTTGCTACCTTTTTATTTTATGTGAAATCTCTGTCCTCTGCAACATGACTGATCCTGAAGATTTATAGTGGAGATGCTTAATACGGTAGAGCAAAGGTTTTTTGCAAAGGTACTTTGCAAAGTTTTTTTTTCTTTTTAAATACTGCATTACAACGATGTCATAATTTTTTGCCTTAAGGATGTGAGTGACAAACTGAGTATACGGTTTCCTACCTTGTACGTATTGGGACAGAGAGACTTGCTGTTTAATTACAAGAAGTTCTTCATCAGCCTCTTCCATGGTGTTTTATCATCGCTGATCATTTTCTTCATACCTTATGGTGCTTATCTACAAACCATGGGACAAGATGGAGAGGCCCCATCTGACTACCAGTCGTTCGCTGTCACAACAGCCTCTTCTCTCATAATTGCAGTCAATTTTCAGGCAAGTGGATTTGTCTTGATCATCCCAATTCATTGCTCTCATGGTACCTGTTTGAAATGGACAATTCACTCATCCAGATTCAGTGACATCAGGTGGAATGTGATGGAGTCATTCTGCTAAAGAACTGTTTCCACTGGAACCTTGTGTCCACAGAGGTTCTTGGACTAAAACTCCCAGAAGCCTTCACTACTAGTTGTGTTGGCCAGGATTTCTGGGAACTGTAGTCGAAGAACATCCAGGGAACCAGAATTGGGGACTGGTGGAACCAGGAACCGTAAGGGAGCGATTGCTTTGATTTCACAGGATGGTGAATCTGTTCCACCTAAATTTTTAAAAAACAATCCAAGTTGTTGAATCTATTTCAGGAGGTTTGGGCTAAAACCTGGAACAGATTTACTGTCTTTGCTCCCCTCCCCAAAACATGAAAGATCTGAGGCAAGAGAGGAACATGGGTGCCAACAATGTCACCAAAGCAGCAGACGTTGCAACCATCTTCATCTGCAGCCTACTTGAAAGTGAATTGCTTCCATTTCATCTCTCTTCTCGTGTGCTCATTGTCCCCTTTCCCAATGCACCCTTATATCTGTGTCTTCTAGAATTGAGTTTTTTTTTCCTCCTCAGTCTATTTTCTGTCTAACTTTGTTGCTGGTTGTTTATTTGTAGATGGGTCTGGACACATCTTACTGGACGTTTGTTAATGCTTTCTCAATATTTGGGAGTATAGCACTTTATTTTGGTATTATGTTTGATCTGCACAGTTCTGGGATACATGTCCTTTTTCCTTCCGCCTTCCAATTCACAGGTCAGTAGCACCCATTGGGTCGTGCTTCAAATATATTAATTCCTAACAAGGGCACATTATGAGTCCTAGCAAACCTTTAAAAAAGCAAGTCTTGGTAGCTTGGGTTTGGAAGGGAGGGTCTAAGAGTTTCAGAATTCAACATAAGCAAAGTACTTTCATATCATTTACTGAATTTTATGTACTACTGTCCACAGCTTGGAAAATTACCGTATTTTTCTGTCTATAAAACAACATTTTCCCCTTAAATAATTAGAGGAAAATTTGAGGGTCATTATATACACAGTAGTAAGGAGAGGGGAGGGATCAAAGTGCTTTGATCCCTGCTTTCCCCCTACACTTTTTGCAAAGAAAGAGCTGCTTTCCCCCTCCACTTTTTGTGAAGGGGAAAGCAGCTTTTTGCAAAGAAAGTGGAGGGGGAAAGCACTTTTTTCACAAGAAAGTGGAAGGGGAAAGCAGGAATCAAAGCACTTTCTTTGCAAAGAAAGAAATTTTGGGTTAGAAAAGTGGGGAGCGTCTTATACGTGGGGGCATCTTACATACAGAAAAATACAATATTTTTGAATCATTTTCCAGATTTCCCCACCTAGTGTGGTCAGAAATTTATTATTTTGTATTCTCGAAGGCTTTCATGGCCGGGATTCAATGGTGGTTGTAGGTTTTTCGGGCTGACCGGCCGTGTTCTTGAGGTTTTTCTTCCTAACATTTCACCAGTCTCTGTGGCCGGCATCTTCAGAGGACAGGAGTCAGAACTGTGCTTTGGTGCAGTTTGTGGGATGGTTGAATATTTATAGCTGTGGGACCAGTTTTTCAGGAGATTGGGTGATTATGGAGATCAGCGTGTTTTTTGTTGTGGGTGTTTTGTTGTGATCAGGGGGAGAGATTATCTGTTACTGTGATGGATGGGTGTCGTTAGTTGGTCTTTCGTGTGCAGTGATCCTTGTGGCTGGGGAGAGTTCGTTGACCTTTTGCAGGCTGTGTTTTTCAGTGCTGGGGGCCAGGCTTTGTTGAGTTAGGAAGAAAAACCTCAAGAACATGGCCAGACAGCCCAAAAAACCAGCAACAACAATTTATTATTTATTTATTTAAAATATTTTTATCCCGCCTTTCTCCTTAAAAGGACTCAGGAAAGCCTAATTTTTTCAGTCTTTGCCAACTGACATTATTTAAGTTTAATAAAACTGGTAGCATATCAGAAAAAACAGTTGCATGTTAGAAACCTTTCATCCCATGAAAGTTGGACTAAAGCTCTTATTAATAATCATGAATGATTGTGTTTGATTGAGCGTTAGAACACACATATATGTATTTGCTTATAAAATTAGTTTCTAATCAGACATCATCTTGTTTCATTTGAATTATTTGTTTGTCTTACTTAAATAGAAATAAAATATTTTTCAGAGAAGAAAAATATGGCATTAAGCAGGCATTAAGCAATTAGTGTACGTCCCTACGATGATATGCTGCAAGTTAAGAGGTCAACAGAAGCATTTGCTGTTGTTCGCAGACTTGCAATGTTTCATTGCACAACAGCACATTACTATTTGTACAGGAATTCTAGTGGGACCAAAAGGAGCAAGAAGGGATCACATAGTGCAGTGACAAAGCACATGGCCGGCATGTACAGGGTTGACAGTTAAATTCTTGGCATCTTTTGTTTTAGGATAACAAATAGCAAGGTCATTAAGGACTTCTGCTTATGACTTTGGAGACCGGTTGTTGGTCAAATCAGGCAATATTTAGCCAATGGCCAATGATCTGACTCAGAGCTTGGAAGAGTTTTGACATTTTACATTTAAGTGGGAGGACAGGCAAACGGATGCATCTAACCTTTAGAAAACAATGTTTACAAAATAAGGTTTTAAGATTACTTTCAAAATGTAAATCTGTAATAACAAAATGCTACTTTGAAGAGATTAGATGCATCCCATCGCTTGCCTCCTTTCATGCAAGAGACAATGATTTTAACATTAATATGTTACATCTAACCTGTCATTTTTTTTGGCCTGACTTGATAGCTAACAATAGACATGCCTGTTGGTTTTGTTGACCAAAGTTATTTTGAACATTACTTTCCAATATGCAGATGTTTCCTATGAAACCTGATTTGCAATGCTTATGACAACACTGTATGTTACACGTCTGTTAGCTTTCTGTAAGGCATTTTGGGCTTTCGAGGGAACCATATAAGGATAAATGTAATCATTTATATGGTATATATATATTTTTTCTCTTTGCAGGTACTGCTTCAAATGCTCTCCGGCAGCCGTATATTTGGTTGACAATAATATTATCGGTTGCAGTTTGCTTGCTCCCTGTGGTTGCACTCCGTTTCTTAACTATGACTATTTGGCCTACAGAAAGTGATAAGGTATGTAGAAAAGAAGAAGAATGTCCAGTTGGAGAAAAGAAACTACTTTTACTTTTCTGCAAGAGTATATGAGCAAAAATCTTGAGTTTCTAATGGCTGCATTGGAAGATCACCATAATGTGTGGTTTACCATAATGGAAACAAACTAAGATGTACTTTAGGGTTGTATATTCTTTGGTCTTCTGGCTTGTCCTCTGATTATCCATGACGATGTGTTCAGGAGCTTTCACTTCTCTTAACTGTTCACCGTGTCACCTGAACCTATCAATATAGTGGTTCAAAACAGTGGGCTGTAAAGCTAAATTCAGTCCATGAACCATAGTTAAATTTAACCATGGTTCAGGATGCTGCACCAAACTGTGGTTAAGATGAAATGCAAGCAGAAGTTTCCAGTCTCCTCACAGTCATGCTGGAAATGGAGGGTAACCCTGAAAAAAAATTTCATGTCCCTATTCAGGTGTTATTTTATCTGACATCATCAATACAGGGAGATGCTCTCTTCCCTCCCTGTTTTTCCACAGGGATGAGTCTGAAGAGGAGAGGTTCTTGCTAAGATGTAGATGGTACCTGGGACCGAAAGTCCTAGAAACATCTGCATTCTTAGTTACACATGGGATCTGCATGTAAATAGGAACTTCTCTCCAGACTAATCCCTGCTTGCATAAAGCAAGCAATGAGAGAAAATCAGATCGTCTCTGACCATGTAAAGAGGCTGAAGATGATAACAACTTAACAGGGATTTTGTGATGACAAACCATAATGTATTGTGACAGCAAAATGGCTGAAATCTTTCTGCACAACTCTGTGGTCATACCGTAAATGGTGATGATGTCATCAGCTACGGAAGTTAGTCTTCAATTTAAAATTGCCTGTTCAGCCTTCCTCTCCCAGGTTTTGAAGCTCCCTACGGATCCCCTTTGAGTTGGGGAAGCCCTGGAGAACCTTGGGACCTGGGAAGGGAGGGGTTTTTAAATATCCAAACATCACCACTAGCCATAAAACTTAGGATGTTTACAATACAGTGGAACCTCTACTTACGAACGTCCCTACCTACGAACGATCCAACTAATGAACAGCTCCGGCTGCAAAATTTTGCTTCTACTTGTGGCCGTAGCTTCGAGATACGAATGAAAAAAGGCAGGGGGAAAAGGCGGGAAATTCAAACCGTTGGTGGCGAAGAGGCTGCTTCTTTGTAGCTCTTTCGCCCCAACGGTTAGGAAGAGGCTCAGCCTCCTGGGCTGGCTTCCAGCGCTGCTGTTACTGCCACCAGGAGGCGGGTTGCTGGACCATCCCGGCTGGGCTCAGCCTCCCGGGCTTCCAGTGCCACCGACACAGGCTTTCCCGGGCTGGTAGACTGGCCCTACCAGGGGAGGGCTTCCCCTGGTAGGGCCGGTCTACCAGCCCAGGAAAGCCTGCGTCGGCGGCGCGGAAACCCTGGCCCGGCAGCTATAGCCTGGGAGACTTCCTGGCAGCAGCAGTCACGGGGGTGGAGGTAAGGTGCTGCTTTTTAAAAACTGTTTTGGGTGGCTTTTGCAGGGTGGGATTGGGCTGGTGGGATTATGCTTTTTTTATTTGTTTTTAATTTTTATTTTTGCAGCCCCAGGGGCTTGCAGTGTTTCATGTTGTTGTGGTGGTGTTTTTTTTTGGTATTTTTTTTTTAGCTGGAACGGATTAATCAGTTTTCAGTGCATTCCTATGGGAAATGGGTTGTTGTTGTGGTGGTTTTTTTTTTTTGGTATTTTTTTTTTAGCTGGAACGGATTAATCAGTTTTCAGTGCATTCCTATGGGAAATGGTGCTTCTACTTACGAACGTTTCAATTTATGGCCACCGTTCCGGAATGGATTAAGTTTGTAAGTAGAGGTACCACTGTATATGCTATATTTCAAGTATGCATAGGGTTCCATTGACATTCTTTGCATAGGAAGCAGCCACAATCCAGTGGCAGAGCACATGTGTTACATAAAGTAGGTCCAGATTCAACCTCCAGCATGTGCTGGAAAAAAAACTTCCTTCCTAACCCCGCTGAAGAGCTTTAACCAATCAGTGTTGATAATACTGGAGGAAAAATTAGCCTATAGTTTGCTCGGTGTAAAATAAATTATTATAATTTTCTTTTAACCTCTTCTTTAACCTGTTGTATGTTTGTTTTGATTTAAAGATTCAGAAAAATCGCAAGAAGTACAAGGCTGAAGAGGAGAAATGGAAGCGAAGACCTAGTGTCTTCCGGCGCGGAGTATCAGGCCGTCGCTCTGCATATGCCTTCTCACACCAGCGAGGTTATGCTGATCTCATTGCTTCTGGGAGAATCATTCGTAGAAGACGAGCTTCATTAACTGCAGTACTTAATAACAATTTGACAGAAATCAGGCAAGCTGAAGAAGCCAGCTGATAACGCCCTGTGTCCTAAAAGAAGGAGGATTTTTTTTGAAAAAAAAAAATCAATTGCACATTTTTTATTATTTTTTTTTACAGAAGACTCAGGATTCTTTAAAAAGAGAAAACAAAATTATGCAAGACAATATACTGATTTTTCATGCCGCTCAGTTTGGGAAGATTCAACTAAAGAACTGAGTGTTGTTATTTTTTAAACTAGGTCTTTGCCTAAAGATTGTGAAACGGAAGGATAAAAGTAATCCATAGACTTAAAGCCCCAAAATGTGAAGGGCAATTTATAATGAAAAGGTACTTGGGACTTTAAATCATTTTTTTTATTTGTCATGAACCAAAGTTTCATGACACAACACCAAAGAGAGGAACAGCTGATAAGCAGAAGAATTCTGTGTGCCACTTTGTTCCATTAATTTATTCAAATATAATGCTGGTTTATAAGTAACCAAAGATTTTTTTTTATTTTGTTTTTTCCAAGTTAACTGTACAATTTTACTTAGTAAGTCTCTGGGATCTAAATCATCGGACCTAAGTTAATATAGTTATGCTAACTCCAGCAAGCTTTCATAATTTTCAGGGACAGGAAATTTATCAAATTATTTTCAAAGTTCTTAAATCAGATTAACCTCTATTAAAGGAAGGGTTTGGTTGATGATCCCTGGACCTTGAAAGGCGGCACCCACTCCTATGAACTCCACCCTTTCAGCATTATTGCCCTCTAGGGCCCCAAAATTATTTGAAATGTGGGAGCATGGACATCGTTAAAAACACAGCAAAACCCTCCTTCCTAGAGAAGTCCTAGAACATAGAAAGGGACTTTTTAAATATACCAGTTCCCCCACCCCCCCAGTTTTGTGTGTGTGTGTGTGTGTGTGTGTCTGTGTCTGTGTGTGTGAATGGGAAACGGGTAGAGTGCTGGAGACTCCAGACAACTCATGACTGTCTAGATGTCCACCTCTGTTCTAAAGAGATCACATTCTGCCCAAGGAGCACAGCTAGTTTGCCATATGAACTAAGTTTGGGCATTCTTGCCCCACTGAAATTTGTGCATGACTTCGTGCCTCTTGGCCGCCCTCACCCTTTGCCTTCTATTTTGTACTACAACCTTCCTGTGCCTTTTGCATCTGCTTGAGAGAGAGAAAAAAAGGAAAGCAGTGTGATATGACTGAATTGTTTGTTTTTGTCATACTTTCTTGAAGATAACCCTGGTTGATTTCTACTTGCTTAATCTTAATTGAGGTAGTTGAGATAATATATTGAGGCATATCTTGATTGAGGCACAGTGAACTCACTGGAGGAAGGGTATAAATATTAATATAAGTGCATCTAATAAATAAATTGGTAGCAACTTAATTGCTGTCTTGCTATGAAGGTGATTCTCATGTGGCTTTTTCCTTACATGATAATTATTTTCAAGCAGCAGCAGTACTTGAATAAGATTATGCTTGAAAAACACTCCTTTTGGCCTGAATCCTGTTGGTGATTTACATGTGAATGACATTGCAGCCAATCACCACAAGGAAAGAGGTGCTAGTTGCTTTGTGAGACACATGCCTTGTAATGTGATCAACCCCTCATTAGTTGGTTGCAGTTTGGTGGTTAATTGTGCAATTTAACTTATGCACACACACATCACCAACAGGATGTTGGTCCTACAACATATAAGTAGGGCCAAAAAAGGTTTGCATGGATTTTTCACATGTAATGATTGTGTATGGACAACTGACATGCATGAGGTCCGTGTGGGAACTATGACCTGTTGAATTACTAGTCCCAATAAACGTAGTACTATTGAACTAGTTGCTGAATGGTAAGTCAACATTTATATGACTCCCATTGATTGAATGAATCTACTCTAGTTGAGGCTACCAATTGGATTCAGGATTATGTCCTAAGTGAAACACACCAAACTAGTCAACACATTTTGTTCACTGGGTGATGAGTCAAAGCACTAATCAGAGTGAGAGAATATTTCACAGTTAAGGTGAACCAATTTCACTATGTTTTAATAGTAAAACACATTTGTTGGGTTTTAAAAATATGTGTAGGCATATTCAGTTTAATTTGTACATGTGTGTAGTGACATATAAATGGTTTACATTTCAAATTTTTTAGCATACATCAGTTTATTTTGCTGAATAACCTAAGTCTTCACTTTTTGGAAAGCGGGAGGGATAAGCAATGTGACCAAGTCTGCACATTTACATTCTGTTAAAAGCACCGTTCGGACATTTCTTTATTTTTATTATTATTATTTAATGTGGAAAAGTTTACAGCTTTTCTTTTCAGCAAGTGCTAGGAGATAATGTTTAGCTTCAGAGATTGATTTCTCTTATGAAAGCTGTGGAAGTCATTGGTTTTATGTTTCATGCATCTAATCCAGATGCAATATTGGCAATTTAAATATGGTGATTGAAATGAATGCTTCATACATTTGTATTGGAAACAAAGTGTAAATATTTTATTTGTTTAAAAGTGGTGTTGTATATAATGACTGTGCTGTAATTTTTAAAATTATTGACTAACTGGAGGGAAAATGCTTTTTTATTAGTCTGAATATTTTCATTACACTATGCGTCCATGCGTCTACACCCCTCCCATCAAGTCTTTATACAGTGTTCGGTATCTTAAGAGTGCTGTCAGAATGGGAGAAAGCCACTCACTCTGATCTAGTGCTGTGTTATATATATCAGGTGGGAAAGGAAACTCCTGATGGTGTTCATAATTACAGTAAGTTCTTCAGATCCATGGAATCAGTACCAGCGGTTTCACTTACCCACTGCCTGAAAAAAATAAAATAAAACCAGTATAAAAAACCAAATAAAACCTAGAAATACCTGTTCCCAAGGTGTATTACCAGGACTGACCACTAGATGGAATCTGAGACTATGCTATACACAAGTGGCTTAAGGGAAATGCACTTATGGCTGACATCTCAGGGGGAAGCAGGTTCCGGTGAAATAGAGAAATTGTATTTGCAGTGGGGAGGCAGCCATTGCTGGTTCCTGGGAAGCCTCCCTTGCAGATAGGAGGGCAGGAGACCCAGTCCTTTGCCAACACTGGGTCAGGGCTCCTTCTCATCCCTGTACAGACTCCAAAGAAATTGGAAGCAACTGCTTCATTTATCCGCTATTTCATTTATCCGCTGCTTCATTTATCCGCTATCTTCATTTATCCACTATTATCATGGATTGGAACTGATCTCCCATGGAAACTGCCGTCCTACGGTGCCTTCTGAGAGTTATCATGGGAATACATGACAGTGTCACTGACACAAATGACCTGAACAGGAGAGCAGTCAACACCAGTGCTATGCCAATCATTTCTTCCATGACACTTCTGACCTTGCTCGTTTGAGACTGACATAAATGTTCTTTTTTTTGGGGGGGGGGGAATCAAAGGAAGAGAATTTATAGAAGATTTATACGGCTAAGCTTCCAGATTCTTCTGCCCATTCATGCAGTGGCCAGTGATTATGAGTACATATCTCATCTTTCATTATCTTTCTGCCCATAATTATGTTTGTGGCAGGTGGCGTCATCCTGCCTCCATGCTTCAGAATAAATCCTGAAGGGTGGGGAGGCTGTCCTAGCAGAACTCCTCCAACAGAGCTTTTTCACATCAAGAAACATGAGCTCCCAGGGATTCTGCAGCACTATCAAAATCCTTTGGGAAGAAAAAGAGGGGAAAAGGTGCCACAATTACCACTAATGACAAGACCTAAATTAGGAATAATTATCTATACTTGCAAATAGGATAGTGAATTTTAAAAGAGTGTTTGCACAACCATACAGGTAAGAAGAGCTGGCCTCCCATTATGCCCTCTGCATGCCTCTGAAGTAGGACCAGCACTTGTTACGGCCAGTAATGAAACTACTGTTTTTTGCTCATAACTTCTGCAAACTCTAATGAGGACCTACAGTTCAGAAAATAACGTTTCCCATTTCTGGCCACCTATACTACATAGTTTAGATAGGGCCCCACTCCTTTTGTTCTAAAGAACATTAGACAAAAACTAGCTTACGAAGCAGTTTTTTTAACAAAAAAGTAGTAAAGTAAAATAATAAATCCCAGTAGTGATAAAAACATTTTACATTGGCAAGTCCTGAATACCAGTAGCACTATCTGCCACAGGAATTTATTTTATTGCAGTCCTAAAATATTTTTATATGCCCTTAGGGAGGCATGTCCCTCCACCACTACCCCATTTGGAGAGCAAGGCTAACATTCTCAATAGAGAAATGTATTTTCACCACCAGAGATCGCCTCTGGCTGAACCTTAGGATATATATAATGGGCAACACAGCTGTCTAGGTTTCTCCAATGCTGGGAAAACTTACCTGGCTACAGAGCAGGGAAAATGCAGCCAGAGAGGTCTGTAACTCAAAAAGTCTGTAAGTCAAGCCATCTGTAAGTCAAGGGTCCACTGTATGCCCTCTGCATGCCTCTGAAGTGGGACTAGCACTTGTTATGGCCAATAATGAAATTACTGTTTTTTGCTTATAACTTCTGGAAACTCTAATGAGGACCTACAGTTCAGAAAATAACATTTCCCATTTCTGGCCACCTATACTACATAGTTTAGATAGGGCCCCACTCCTTTTGTTTTAAAGAACATTAGACAAAAACTAGCTTAGGAAGCAATTTTTTTAAAACAAAAAAGGAGTAAAGTAAAATAATAAATCCCAGTAGTGATAAAAACATTTTACATTGGCAAGTCCTGAATACCAGTAGCACTATCTGCCACAGGAATTTATTTTATTGCAGTCCTAAAATATTTTTATATGCCCTTAGGGAGGCATGTCCCTCCACCACTACCCCATTTGGAGAGCAAGGCTAACATTCTCAATAGAGAAATGTATTTTCACCACCAGAGATCGCCTCTGGCTGAACCTTAGGATATATATAATGGGCAACACAGCTGTCTAGGTTTCTCCAATGCTGGGAAAACTTACCTGGCTACAGAGCAGGGAAAAATAAATTTAAGATCTTTTAAAGAAATATGCTGTCTAAGGTGGGTGGGGAGGCAGTTCTTGAAAGTACCAAAGAAAGGAAGTTCATCATGCAAAATGAAGCAGGATTTGCATGATGCAACATATGCAAAAATTAGAGGTAGCTGTGTTGCCATCAAGGAAGCAAATATCAAAATCCATATTCAGTATTTAGCTCAACCAAATGTTTACAGATGGGTGTGTCCTTTTGGTTGCCCAAGTAGCTGCATTACTATGGGATGCATCCGGGAATATTTTGAAATGTTGCTGCAAACTATATTTTGCAAAAAGCATGCATATGCATGCCCAACACGGATGCAGCAACACAGATGCACTCAATATTTGTCTCAATTATTTCTGGGCAACATTGGGCCATTGGGTGTTCTCCTCCACAGCAAGAGTAACTTCCCCTTACAGCACACACCCCATGCTCCACGGTTGTTCCCCAACCCTCTGGATAAGGGTATACACAGAGATGAGAGGAAAAAAATTGTCTTGCCAGCCATGTCCATTCTGCTACCAGAATACCCACTTCTGTGTGCATCCCTCTGTAAAAAGCAGATTAAAAAGACCAATGATTTTTAAAAAAATCAAATCACGATTTAAATCATCAAAAATCTGATTTTCAAAAAAAATTAAAATGTTTTAAATCAAATCCACCCTGCCTCTGTGTGTATGTTTTCCATTTCTGGCAGCCATGGCCTGGTTGACAATTCCAAATTCTTGCATTAGGATGCACTGACATTCCAAAGGACGGAGGATCTCCTTCCCTTAAGTCAATAGCTTCAGCATGCATTTTTTTTTTTTTGAAAAATAAGACCTTGTGTGACAAAACGGGGGTTTAACAAAAGTACAAGATTATAAATTTCATATGTCTTCTCACTCCTTAGAGAGAGGGCAGCCAATGGTGGGAGACAACATGAAGATGCGGGAGGATAGTGTGTCATATTCACATCACGCTGTACTGACCTAGTGCCTTCTGGTGTTCTAGGCGCCACTGATCCCCAACCTTCGGCCTCCAGATGTTCTTGGACTTAAACTCCCAGAAATCCTGGCCAGCAGAGGTGGTGGTAAAGGCTTCTGGGAGTTGCAGTCCAAGAACATCTGGAGGCCCAAGGTTGGGGATCACTCTAGACTACAGGGCGCTGGCCCATGGCTGGTTAAAATGCCAGTATTGAGTATGGCCTTCTCCAGATGCCTGTAATTGTGTTTAACTTCAAACACTGGTCCTTTATTTTCACCTGTGACCTACAAATCCTGAAGCTGAGGCTCCAATCCTTTGGCCATCTCATGAGAAGAGAAGACTCCTTGGAAAAGACCTTGATGTTGGGAAAGTGTGAAGGCAAGAGGAGAAGGGAACGACAGAGGACAAGATGGTTGGACAGTGTCATCGAACCTACCAACATGAATTTGACCCAACTCCGGGAGGCAGTGGAAGACAAGAGGGTGTGCCGTGCTCTGGTCCATGGGGTCACGAAGAGTCTGACACGACTAAACAAAGGACTACAAATCAGGATATGCCATTGTATGTACAGTGTCTCCCTATTTGCTCTCCTTTCTGGGTAGGGTATCCTATGCCATACAACAGAGCCCATCGGCGTTCCTGACGATGGGCATGGCCAGAGCCAGATTTCAAGGCGAGGGTGGTGTCCTATGCCATACAACAGATCCCATCCCGACAATGGGCATGGCCAGAGCCGGATTTCAAGGTGAGAGCCAAGGACACAGCCCCCCCCCCCGATTGTATGAATGGGCCACGGTCAGGACGTGAAGGCAAACGTGGCAACAGCTGATGCGCACGTACATCAGTGGAACGGTCCTGCCGCACGTAGGGTTGCCAGATACACGGGTACCAAAAGGAGGGCAATGAAAGACAAAAAGGAGGACAAAGGAGGACCTATTGAATGTTTCATTTTCATTATTCCAGATTAAACCCACAATCAATAAAATTTTATTACAATAGCTGCCAATAAATGTCTCTGAGTGAACCAACCAAAAAACAGTCATGTTAAAAAATAAAAATAAATTCAATGGAGGCTTTTTTTGAAAATACCGGAGTGGGTGGGCTGGTGGGGGTGAGGAAAGCCAGGGGGAAGGGGGTCCTTCCACCTCTCCCCCTCCCATCCAAAATCACGGCATCCCAGAAGATCTTGGAAACGTTCCTTTTTGGGAACTACAGGTCCCATCAGCCCTGGCTGGGGGGGCTGCATGTTTGGAACTGTAGTGAAGCTAGAAGGAGAAACGTTTCCCAACCCTACCCACGGCCCTCTTTTCACCAAGCGCCACCCCAAACCCCACCCGCTACAGGAGGGCCGGCT